GCTGATAACAAGCTTCCAGCCGTGCTCGTGGAGCTCGTGCATGCTTCAACATTAGAATAACGAGGTTTAATTTGAGAATAAATATGATGTGTTCTTTGACCATGACCATAAGCAGGGAAAACTGCTTAGACTTGATATTATTAATTGACTACTACCTAACATGATTTCCAAGCAGGTCTGACTACAGAATGGTCCGATAAATATTTAAGATATGGGCACGAGGTATTTTCATTTTTTTCTGTAGGATTTAATAACGGGCACATGCAAGCAAATTCATATATTTTGCCAATTTAGTCGGGTTAATAGCGCGATGTCTTTGCTCTATTGTGTCTGCTTAAGATTTTAGTAGTGTATTTGATTGAGCAATGTTGCGTTTGGTCTCAGCAATAAAATTGCCTGAAGGTGACACCGGCCACTCAAATTATTTCATCCAATACATGGGGATCGAACTTCTGTTGCATTTTTTTAATTCTTAGCAATGAAGCTTTTGAATTCAATACTAACAGAAGTATTGCCGATACGCATTTATTGTATATTTTGTTGAAAGTATATTGCACATAAGATTCGAAAACAAGAATGTATTGGTTTTTCTGAGTCGTGATTCCTCATAATTACGTTACATGGATAAACCTCACGAAAATGTTGACTAAGAAATAAATTCCGGATCGTTTATCCGCGGATTTCTGTTTTTAAAAGCGAATGTTGACACAATTATCGAAAACTACGCAACACTCTACATTTTTTAACGTGTGTTGAAAAGCCGACAAACCACCAGTCGATCATGCGAGTTGTGATGAGAAGGAAATATCAAGCGTTTGTTTGGCAATTGTTGTCTGAGAGACGCTGGCGCCTCCTCGCGGCAATGAAGGCAGTTACGGCCGCCCTATAAACTCCACTCAAAAGAGCCACTTTTGCCGACGATGTCGCCATAAAGCCAACCTAATGCCGACTAAGAGCCTCCGTCGGGGCAACGTGACGCCGACGCTATGCGTATATTCTTGCCTTATATACTGAAATGCTGCTTACTTCGGGACATCGCTTGGGAATCAAGTCTTTGGGCGATATTTTGCCGAGGCATAGAATATTTTTACAGTATTTTGACGGGGAATCGAGTACCGTATATACTATTGGTATTTTACGTTGAATATTTAATACCGATGGATCAAGTCGTTGTTCCATATTTTTACAGTATTTTACCGAGGCAACAAGTCCTGTCTCAGTATTTTAATGAAAAATCGAATATCTTTACAGTATTTTATCGACACATTGACTTTAGCCTCGGTATTTTCGTGAGACATCGAATATTTTTACAGGGAATATGGTCATGAAGTCATGCCTCAGTGTTTTGCTAATGCTTGAAATACCTCCACAATATTATGGCGTAAATTGTGTTTTTTTTTTGCAAAATATTTAGCTGAGACTTATTGGTCTTTATTGAATATCTTGTCGAATCATCATATCTTTCCTTCGTACATAAGCAGGCCTTAAAGGCTTTCTCCATATATTTTTCTTTATTGTAAATAATTCCGAAATGTTCTAATGAAGCATCACTGCATGAATTCTCTGTACAAATTATACCAGTACTCACTGCTGTGAGTGACTGATGACGCATTTTCTCGTCCGTCCGTGACGTGAAATCACGGATGGACGGACATGACGAGCACAATAGCGCCTTTTTTCCATAAATGAGAAAATGCGCTAAAAATTATTTGGCGGTGCATCAATTCTTTCTACAATATCTTGTCGTAGCATCTGATCTAGTCTTATAATGATATCTTGCCGAGGCATCAAATCTTTGCAGAATATTTTGTCAAAGCATCAAGTCTTTCGAAACAAACCATGGCGGAATGGTTCTGTTTTCCCCAGAGTATCAGGAATGTCTGCAACTGAACTCATGGACAGGTTATTTCTTCATTTTATTGTTTTACGCCCACATTCCAAAAAATGTTTCGTCGTCCAATTGCGAGTCTTCACCTCAGCCCTTCACATAGGCAGGAGGTGTGAATGCGGACGCCTTTAGTGTGAAGATTGGCGGCGCCAGCCAATCGCAGCGACGCTTTCTGCCGACATTGGCACCTTAGGCGCCAAATGTATCACCTTGGCTGACCAATCACGAGTAAGATGCGCATTGTAGCCAATCACTGCTCAGTTATATTACTTTTTACTTTTCTTTAAAAATGAAACTTGCAATGCCTGTTGCCATTGACTAGGTAGCAATCTTTGACCATTGATCCACCACTAGCTAAATTTTTGATAATGTTTATATCTTATTATCGATGCCTAAATCTCTAATTCCGTCGTTTAAATTCTCCATATACCTCGTAAATTTAGCTGAAAAAATTAGCAAATTCTAAAATTAGCCAATTGATTGCCTTCCGTATAGACTACTATCAATTACTCAGTATAACTTATCTATCATCTGAGCATGGACAAAAACCCGGACAAACCTTAGAGTTCCGGAATGTTACAAAAAAATGTGACAATTATTTCACGGAACGGAAGCTTGTTTTAATTTTCGAACTAACTTGATGATAATGACTTTAAAATGTGAAGTAAATGACCTCAGGCAGTCAAAACCTAGGCTGTGGTTCATTCATCCGCCAATACGGCATTTCTTAACACGTTCAGTTCGACACGTTCAACTGAACGGTGAGTTGCAAGGTCATTTTTTTCGGGTAAAATCCGCGATTTACTTTTTTTCTATTGCTTTGGCCAAAAAAATTTATAAAGACGATATTTCCTAATAGAATTTAAAAAATTGCGTAAAATTACAATTTAATGTTTGCATCGGAATCTACAAATTTACTCGTATATATTAAATTATATGGCTTTTATATGGCCTTTTTTGTCCGCGGACTTGAACGCTTTAGGGGCCATCTGCATGGCAATCAAGCGTGATGGGCCGTATATCGCACCCAACGCGTTAAATGTCATTTTCCGGTTAATATTGCAATATATCCTCATATACACTCTGAAATTTAGAGTAAAAAATGAAACTGCATGCACATATAGTTACACAAACCAATGTTTTTAAAGAGCCAGATTGATATGTTTATAATCAATAATCACTATATGATTGGGTGTGAGTCTAACTAATTATATAGAGACTTAATGATCCAGGCGGTGGTCCTTTTTAGCGCATTTTCTCATTTATGGAAAAAATGCACTAAATTGTGCTCGCCATGTCCGTCTGTCTGTCTGTCTGTCTGTCTGTCCGTTCTTCCGTGATCTCAAGTTTTCGTCGACGAGAAAATGCGCTCTCTGTCACTCACTGCAGTGAGTGTATACTGAGTAATATTTTTTAATCTATAACGAGAGGCAGCATAGTTTAATCACCGACGTTTGATGCTATACCATTGCTCGTAAATTTAGGCGATTGGACGAACCTTGCTCTAGTGATCAATCATTAGAACGAAATGCGCTCACATTTTCGCTAGGATGCGCTCACAAGTGTACTATAGCTCTTCGTCGGCGACTCGTTCAGTGAAGTAACTCCCGACAGAACTCGTTTCTCTCTTCGAGTCGTCGATCGGCGCCACGACCTTGACTTCTGATTGCGAATTATTAGTATGCAGTTGATGGTTATAGTTTTTGCGTCAGCTGCACAGAATGATTTCATCCCGTTTAATTTAATCTGTACGAAAAAATATCTGATCGATTTATTTTCTGCTTACAAGGTCCTAAGAAAAAAATTACTTAATTTCCTCATTAATGACTATCACTATCAAGTTTTTACTTTATTAAGGCTCTTTCGCCGTTTTTCTTCTTCTTCCACATACTAGAATGTTTTCTTTCTCCACGTACTGTGAAACAATTGGAGCGCCGGTAATGTTGGTATCCCTGGGCGACCTCCCAAGCAGCGTTGCTAGGGACATTCATATGCTAATTCTTTTGGTTGCTCTCCTTCAGATACGCTGCACCAGATCTCGACAGCTGGAGTATGAATAATTGATTACAGGTACATAAAAGCGCCGCAAAGACTCATATTTCTGCCTTCGTTTGAACCATTTGTTTGAGGCAAATATTCACTATGTAGTAAACTGCATGGCTGACCCATGAATCTGCCTAAATAACCTTTATTGGCTCGGAATTGCATGCAAGTGATTGAACCTTAGAAGCACAATCCAAAGACATAGCCATTAATTTATAACAACTTGCCTCCGGCGTGTACCGCATCACCAAAATTTCTAAAAAAACATGTGAGCACAACAATCCTGACCATGCGGAGTATCCTCTGTAGCTCCACAGCATAAGGTCACGAATAAGACGCATCACAAGTCAAGTAAAGGTCAATAGTTCCGCCTGCCGAGACCATGACATACGATGTTAGAGTTCGGTTTCAGATCGGTTGCGATACCTGAAGATGTTTCAAGAGAATTCCATACCCATTAGTGGCAACATTGCGTCTTGTTGAGAGTTGTTAATGTCTAGGGCGGGAGGCGCTTGGCTCGCTGCCACCCATCAATACACTTATGAAGTTATATTCTGGGCCTAATGAGAAGATTGCATGTGTAGGGGCAGCCGCCCTCTAATTTCTCTCGGCCACGGTGCAGAACTCAGGCTCCGACCGACGCTGCTTTATGGACGCTCCGACACAAGCAGCAACCTAACCTCGCCTTTGTACTACTACACGACAACTTGACCTCTCGCGCCCAGCTTCTGAGCTAACATGTTCTGCACTTTGGCATGGGAAATAGTAAGTTTTATCTTTAGGAAATTTTCTAATATAAATTTGAAATTCAAATTTTCTGGTTAAATAATGGAGATGTCGAATTAGGACATGTAAGTTTTCGTTCGACAAATAGATGGTTCGAAGGTGTATACTTCTTTTTTTAAAAATTCATTCTTTATTCGGCACGAATTCATTTCCTGTAATCCATTTCATGAATACTCTGAATTATTTCAATATTTTAAGAATTTTGCAACTAATTATGCATTTCAGTTACAAAAAGTGGTGCGAAGACGAATAAGTAACGAAGGTTTGCAATAATACGCATAGCATCGAACATTATTTAGTGTTAATATTTACAGAAGAACAACTCTACGCTCGTGCGTGAATCTTGCAACGCACGACCAGCGTTTAACGCACAGAAAAAAAACTGAGTTGACGGCGAACACCTTTACTTGAAAAAAGTTGACAATTTTATGAAAATGAACTGAAAAACAATTTAGAAAATATGCCATGTCTTCAGAAATCGTAGAGTGATGTAATATTATCTTGTTCGACATCGACATGCTAAATAATCGCGGCCATCGGTTGATAACTTGCCTTGCATGAAACATCAACACATTTAGCATTAAAGCCTCAATTCAATCTTCAATGGGTTATTTTGTAACTATTCCTTCAACTGGCATGGATTTTGCAAGTTTTAACAACACCAATTATGCACGAGATACAATCGAAAGCAACGATTCAATAACATAAAAGCCTTCAGCAATTTCCGCACCTCAAGGACGCCGACCCCCGCTTCATACTTTACAACAAACTTCTGAAGCCCCTAATAATACCTGAAAATTACGAAATTCTTTCACGCTTTATTCGTTAAACAAATATCTTTCCAGAATACGGAAGTGATCTCACGAAATTCTTTCACGCTTTATTCGTTAAAAAAATATCTTCCCAGAATACGGTTGTGATCTTTCAGTACTCAAAACAATCTAATTCGCGACCGCTTCTTGTTGCGGTTCCTCAGTTGTTTCTTGCTGCTTCGTCTTCTTGGCGGGCGCGTAGCCGAGGTCTTTGGGAATGTAGGCTTTATGATCCAGCACCAGTCGTTCGCTGGTTGTGTTGCATTTAACGTACACCTGTGGCGTACGAGGGCAAAAGTTCAAATAGAGTTATTGCTAATAATTTCAAAAAATACTATTTCAATATAACATTGGAGGAAACGTTTAAAAATCTCGTCACAATGAACCCAAGTTCATCATTTGCTACCTTGCGAGGTTATTCCGAAACACAACTGCTAGAGGACATCCACAGATTCTTTTCCGGATATAGATTTAATATATCAAAATAGTTAGGCTCTAATATTTAAACGCGCACATTATTGCATCAAATATTATAAAAAAATAACTGAACCAGCAATTATCATCAAGTGTTAAAATAAATTTTATTTTGTAATAATAACATTTATCAAAATATTAAGGATAAGTCTCTCCTTGAGCGATGTGCCACGCTCATTGTCTGGGAGGAATAAGCAACTTATACATTCGATGAAAATGTGTAAATTTTAATTAATTTCGATGCCACCAGAGAAGGGAGTGCCGTTTTAGCACTGATATAAAATTAAACAAGTAATTAATTAAACGATGGCGAAAGAAACTTTGACCACAAACTGCATAAATTTAGTACTGTAACCCATACTCCCAAAATTCCTAATAAACTTCCTAATAAATTGGAAATAACCAAGACAAATCCACCAGGACTACCAGTATTAGTGGGAGGTTCTCACCCTGGTGATGAGGTCCGCAGACTTGCGGCCGATGCGATGGCTCTCGATGTCAGTCAGTAAAGCCTGCGCGTTCGCCGTCAGATGTTCGTCTTCCATCGACAGCTTGTTCAAAATAGAATTTTATTAACTTAACTTGTCTTTTGTGATATCAAGTATATGCGAACAAAGTCTGAGGCACACATAAAATATTATGATATTGGTACCCGAAGCCACGATAAAAAATCTAGTATATAAAACATCAGAATCGGATTTTTAATAAAGCACCACTGAATGAACAGGGGAAGGGGAGATAATTTCTAATACCAAAGCACCAAATAATATAATTAGATGTATCAAACTACCGTTAGATTTGGTTGCTGACCAAGTCTATTTCAAACAACATAGACTTACCGCGCCAAAAGCTACGGTAATAGATCCATAGGCTTTTAGTACGGTATCCACGGCGCACTCGTACTGAACGCCTGTGAGAAACCGAAATGCGGTGTCGGCGACGTTCACCACAGAGGTGCCTGCAATGCACAATAAGCCTATAATAATACTCTGCACTACAGGCATAAGTTTTACAAAGGCCATGTACTTTACCTAAATAGACAAAAATGTCAAATAAATGTCTCAACAATTGGATTAAAATCGCAATATCATGTTTGCACATGGGTATTATGTCAATTATAGAAGATGATAAATAGAAAAAATGTTAATTTTGGGCACTGATTTAATTTTACAATAAATCAACATTGATTATTATGATTGAAGACAACTGTAAATGATAAGAATTACTCACCATTAGAAGGGTTTGGGAACTTTTTCTTCAGTATCCCCCTGATAGGAACGAGTTCAGGAAGGATGTCTAGGCTGGAAACGATGTAATCGTACGCCAGCAGGTCTACTTCTCCACCCTGTGCGTCATGTCAAACAATTATTATCAACAAATATAGGTACATGTGCTCTTCATAATAAATAACATCAAAAAGAGGAAATAAAGTCCAATTCACCAGTACAAACTTGACGATCTCCTCAACAAATATACACGTTCTCTTCAGAATAAAAGAAAACATCAAAAAGAGGAAATCAAGTCCAATTCACCAGCACAAACTTGACGATCTCATAAACAAATATACATGTTCCCTTCAGAATTAAAACCTATCAAAAAGATGGAATCAAGTCAAATTTACCAGCACAAGCTTGACGATCTCCTTAACAAATATACATGTCCTGTTCATGATACAAAACTGCATCTAAAAAGAAGAAATCAAGTCTAATTCACCAGCACAAGCTTGACGATATCCTCAATAAATATACATGTTCTGTTCATTATAAAAAAGAACATCAATAAGAGGGTATCAAGTGCAATTCACCAGCACAAGCTTGACGATCTCCTTGCCACAGACGAGCTGGACGCCCATCTCCTGCGCCTTGGTACGAGTCTCATGGTCATCTGTGAGCACCGCAACGCTGCGGCTCTGGCCCGCGTCGTAGGCATGAGGTAGCAGCACTACGCCACTCACATCCGTCAAGAAACGTTTCTTTAAATAATAATTTTATTAGAAAGAGTCAAACAAATAAGAATATGAATTTAATAGAAGTAAATTAGGAATTGAGGTGGGTAAACTTTTCTGCATGAAACTAGGCAACAAGGAACAATGTCTGAAATAACATTTCAATTCGAAATGATTCATACATAATAAGTGGAGTCGTAAGCTTGTAGAAAAATAATCAGGTGGAATGAAATTGATCTGTAATTGATTAATAGAACCATTCACATCCATCTAAATAACAAATGTATGTACTGGTTCAGTGTGAAACTTCTACTTGAGTGATCCAAAGAGAGCATATAACATAACATAGTGATGTCGGTGCTGAAGAGTAACGTAGGCCTGATGTGGCCTGTCGCCGATTCTTGTTCATAACTTGTTCACAGAAGATCAAAAATTGAGTCATATGACCGGATCTTCTCAAGACTGACCATAGTTTGAAATAGCTACTAGACTTCCACCGAGTTCGATATGGTGCTAGGCATTTCAAGTCTGAACAAATATTTTTCCATAGCTTCATCTAGTCTGCTCTTGAACATGTTCATTCTCGGAGCGCTAACATGAATAAATTGTCAGTGAATATTACTATAACAAAATTTATCCTGAAATAAGGTGGCAAATTCATAGCCAAATATAGCTCCATACTCTTGCAAACAAAGTGCTGTTATTATCTTACAATTTCTTTTACCTCAATTGACATATAAAGATAGATCAAATTTAAACAAGTTGAAACATAATGTCACTCCTAATAGAAGTTACCCCCTACCGCTTTGTCAGTGGCGAGTGAGACGTCCATAGTGAGGAAGACAGGAGCATCAGGGTAGTTGTAGATAGTTGGCTGGTGAATCTCACGCAGCTTAGTAACAGCTTCTGACACTGAATGCTCCTAGAAAAAATTTATTACTCCATTAAATTTCTTCAACTGCATTTTTCTTATTCTTTAGTGCATTCATCATGAACATTTAAACTTGATTGCCTTTCACTACCGTACCTGACAGTAATCCTGGAACTTGCCCTAGCAATGGCCAAGTAGCTTTATTGCTACATAAGATTGAGTTGTTTGGAAATGCTTTTAGTGTTGCATATTTATGTTGATGTCATTAGGCTAATGACATATGCTCCCCTAGTCTGAGTATAATTCTGCACTAGTCCTGCTACTTTACATTCTCACTTCAGCAATAGCCAAGACATCACCTGACTTGAGAATTGAAACATTTTTACACTTTATCTAGGGCAATAAACTGGCACATCCTTGATTGTTGACTTAGTACAAGGAAATTATTGGGGGATTATCACTAAAAATCTACCCATAGAAAGCAAGGGTTACAGAGACCCAATTTTAACCTCAATGTTGAGTTTTAAAACCTCAATGTTGAAGAAACTTAATTTTTGAACACCATTTATATTATACATACGTATTATTTATTTTGCCTAGTTCAATGTACCATAGTTGAGAGTTTCAGATGTTCCCATTAGTGAGCAATCAAGAATATATCCATTAAGATTGCAAACCTTCTCTCCTAACATCCATAGATGTGTGTGCGAATGAGGTGGGTGCAGGTGTATGATAGCTGAGTCTATAAGGAAAAGCATACTCAAAGTGATGTGATATATATATATGTGCACTATGATCTTTATGTACTGTTCAATAAGCAGTGATGTAGCAAAAGTTATTATGTTTAGGTTTAATTTTGGTTCTTAACTATATACCTAAATCCCATCCTACATCCAATCCCACATTCATTTTAAGAAGAATAGACTGGCTTCATAATAGAAAATTAATCCTAATTTAATTACAAAGTATAAACCTAACGAGTCCATAAAATTTTGCTGATTCCATATGACACAATCTCAGAAAAGATATTCTTAGCAACCATCAACACCATCATTTCTATACCTATATCTCAGCCAACAATCTTGACCATTTATTCAAGTTAAATAAAAAATAAATACATGAACTACTACAACTTGCAATTATTCATTCCATTATACATGACATAAAAAATTTTCTGCAATAATGAAAATCTCTTACAGGCCACCTGAAGTATCTTGCCACGTAGACATCATCAGCCGGTGGCCAATTCCTCCACGTGTAATTAGGAGGTTCCGTAGATGCAGCATTTCTGCAAAAAATGAATTCATTTTATGTTGTGTTAAGTAAATTTCTAATTTTAAATGAACATTGCTTGTTAAAACAAAAAGAGTATTTCTATGTTGCTACTTATTAATTAGTGAATTCTGGGGTTTTGAAAGGCACATTAGGGAATAAACAAGAACAGGAGACTGGCAGCTTCCATAATGAAGTAATAGTTGAATGAGCCATAATAACAAAAATATGCTCCATACTACAAAATTCTCATAAGATCACATTTAGTTACTTCCATACTCACAACTTCTTTCTTTCAGAAAATGGTATCCAACCAGTTTTAACTTCTTGTTCAATTTTTTTCTTCTTGTTGGCCTTTTTGATGGCTTCTCTTCTGGCACGAGTACCTTTCCTGGCAGCAGCATTTAATGCATTTAAATGGAAGCTTCTGTGATGAGGTGAAAGCCATTTATCTTCCCAGAGAACCTAAAATTAAAAACATATAAATCTAATGCTGTCTTAGAAATAAATTATTATTTACATTTTCAGTGTGGATTTCAAAAAGGCATCAGTATGAAAGATGGCATCTTGTAACAGAAAAGCTGAAATCTCTGAATAGTCACCATTTGACTCAGAAATCTTCTATTCAAACCTTTACTGGTATGAGACATAATAATGGCAGAAGCTACAGTTTCAAGTAAGTGTCATATTTAGTTAAGTACCGGCATATATTCAAGTATATAGAGTTGAAACAGCCTGAAGTTGTAGTGGAAAAACTCAACATCAGTGAATTTTCTAAATTCTAATAAATACAGGTTTAGTATACTATTATGTTTGGAATAGAGTCTCAGACTAAGACTATTCAAAATATTCAGGTGTGGTATGGTAATATAAGAACAAGTGCATATATTGTACTTCATCTAAAATTTTGATGTGAATGTCAATGAAACTAACTTTTCCACAACCTTTATGTTGCCAATCTTTAAAAGAAACAAAAATTTCGTTAACAAAACTGAGCCACAGTTTTCTATAATCTAGCCTACTCAAAAAGGCTTAAGTTATTATCTGGCATGGAAATATTGCAAGTTGAGTGTAGTAGCTGCACCCTTCAGCAGGCTGGAATTCCATAGTGGTATTAAATTAACCAGTACACATAGCATATTAGTCAAAACTAATGAAATTCAGAGAGGATGACATCAAAATATCACAATCAATCAAAGTCTATAAAGGATGACATCACAATCCCACCATCCCACAGGCTGGAATTTTATGATAGCACATAAAGCTTCTGACATTTTTGGGCAAATGCAAAACCATCTCCAGACTGTGATTGGTGGTGATGTCATCCACTCCAACCTGATTGATTGCTGGGATTGTGATGTCATCCACTCCACACTGTGATTGGTTGCTGGGATTGTGATGTCAATGTCATAAGGATTGGAATTTTCCTACTTGTTTCTGAAATCTCATAGCTCCAAAAAGGACTAATTTTTAATACAATTGGAACCTTGCAGCCCGATTGTGCTCTTTTGTTAACAATTAGATAGGAGGTAATTCATCTGGAGGAAACTTTGTAGTTCCAGAAATGGTGGGGCCACGGGAAAGCTCTAGTCATGGCCCTAAAGGTAAATGTTCCCACACTTCAATGTCATCCTCTCCAGACTATTATTGGATGGGTTCAATATGCTATGTGTATTGTGTACTGGTTATTGGTTAATTTAATACTCCTCTAGAATTCCTCTAAAAAGGATGACATCACAATCCCACCATCCCACAGGCTGGAATTTTATGATAGCACATAAAGCTTCTGACATTTTTGGGCAAATGCAAAACCAGCACATAAAGCTTCTGACATTTTTGGGCAAATGCAAAACCATCTCCAGACTGTGATTGGTGGTGATGTCATCCACTCCAATCTGATTGATTGCTGGGATTGTAATGTCAGTGTCATAAGGATTGGAATTTTCCTATTTGTTTCTGAAATCTCATAGCTCCAAAAAGGACTAATTTTTAATACAATTGGAACCTTGCAGCCCGATTGTGCTCTTTTGTTAAGAATTAGATAGGAGGTAATTCATCTGGAGGAAACTTTGTAGTTCCAGAAATGGCAAGGCCACAGGAAAGCTCTAGTCATTGCCCTAAAGTTAAATGTTTCCCACTCTTGAATGTCATCCTCTCCAGACTATTATTGGATGGGTTCAATATGCTATGCGTACTGGTTATTGGTTAATTTAATACTCCTCTAGAATTCCAGCCTCTATAATAACAGTGAGTGAATGGTAGAGTGTAAGTGGATAACTACATAATCAATCACAGTCTGGAGATGAACATGTATATATATATCCAGCATCCATCCAAAAATGACAAGCTTCATGCACTATTCTAGAATTCCAGCCTGACTGCTGCAGAGTAGCAGGCTAAGAGGCTGTGATGATAGAATTTCCTTTTCAGTTCTATGTTTAGCTGATATTTTGCAAAGAAGAAAGAATCAACTTACCACTGGTAAGTCATATGTGGTACTGGCAACTTGATATTGGATATCATAATCATATCATATCAGCAGCATAGTTAAAATGCATCCATAAAATTATTCAAGTACCTGTACATATGAAAATTTTAGACTCCACTGAAAGTTATGCAACTAAATTTATTTTTAAGAAACATTTATTCTCTTCTCAGTCCTAGGACAGTCAGACACCAGGCATGAAATATATCTACTTGGCAAGCTGTGACTGAATTTTTCAAGCCATGGTTTTATGGATTTGCCAGCCATGATTCCATTTTTTCAAGCTGTGAATTCCATATCTCAGCCATCATGCCATGAAAAGCCATTTATGAGGCATGAATTTACTTTAAAATCCATACAAGTGTTATTCTAAATCTCTAATTTTACCCTAAAACAGTCAAAAGGCAACAATAATATTTGCCTTTATTGTAAGCTAATAGCTGAACATGTGTTAATCACAGTTAATGCAATCTGGCTTGACTACAACTATGCGTGATTTTCAACAAAACATTTAGGTTGACTTGTTTACATTACAATGATTACTTTCTACAAGACTGCAGGATATTTTAATCAAATTAATGGGAATCAGGAAATGGTAAATTAATGTAGATTGTGGAAGTGGAAAATTTTATGAAATGACATGTTTGCAAAGTGCAAACTGCATTTTTTTTCAATCAAACAAAAATTTATAATGTTGGAGCCAGGAGATTTTATACCTACTGAAATTACTATATGATATTTCAGAAGCAGAATACCTCAATATTTCAGAAAAAATAGGACTTTTCCAGCCCTGTACAGTAAGTAACACAGGCTGCAATCTGTCAGTCAGACACCCTGTGACAGTGACAGGATTGGAAAAGTCCTATTTTTTCTGAAATATTGCGGCTCTAATATCATATACCGGTACCTAATTTCAGACTTCAGTAGGTGTAAAATCTTGTGGCTCCAAAGTTATGAACACTAGGTATAAGTAATTATTTTGTTCTCATATTTGTCAGTTTATGATACTCAATTTGAAATCAACTTTACTTAATGGAGAGGATAATAGACAATGGAGAGAACAGAGAAGGAAAAATGGCAACATTGTTTCATTTGTTTGTATTGAATGAAGAATGTGGTTCAAGGACCTTTTGAAAGCGCGATTGGACTAAGAGTATAAGGCACTAACACTACGACAAACGGTTTCCTGCGTATGGTCTTACCTGTGAAAAACAAATTGGTGAACGGATTATAGGCTGTAAAGTATTCAGATTACACAGAGACGATGAAAAAGCATTTCGCGGAAGCAAATTCAGAAAACGAGTAGATATATTCATGTTTAATTTATTACGATGTCCACTACTACCGGCAACAACAGTCAACAAACCGATAGTATTAGTAACACTGAATTAGGGATGTTCCTTCAGCGCGGAACGTTGTGCTCGAATCCGAATCAAAATATAGTTAGAGTGAAAATGCTCTATGGTTGCATACTGCAGTATGTTACTTAATTCCTTTTAATCAGCGATATTGATTTGGTATAAAATTTTATCTAAACAGACCATTAGAACATTTCTTATCTGAAGTCACAGTTTCAGACAAGACATGACTTATAACTTTTTAGAAAATCGCCGTTGAAATTTGTTATCTCGGGTTCGGGATCTATGACTTAGAGACGCTGAGTTATCCTGAGTAGTTGGGAGGTGTCAACAACTCGCAATTTACAGTTAATGAACTATTTCAAAAACTCGAAAGTTTTTCTGACATTTGTGAGTTAAATGGGTTGAGATGAACAAATAACTTTCAAATCTTAAGATGTCAATCTCGTACAAGTACAATTACAAACGTGCATAGAAATCTCTTTGATATCTTCTTCGAAGTTAGAATAGGGACTGTCAGTCACTGTGTGACCCAGAGACAGTAAGACTGCAACCATCTATGGCTGTTGCTGTCCCATGAGTGAAGATTCCTTTGACTTGAGTGCCGATTTCAATGACCTATGTGGCTAATGGCTATGTCTGATTCTATGAGAATAATAATGAGTCTAGGCTATGACCCTGGTCCCTGAGGCTCAGGCTGAGGCTGATAACAGTCAACTGAGTCCAGAGTAAAAATTATGAACTTTATACTAAAATTGTATTGTTTTGGGTAGGTAACTTTTTTGACAAATAGGCATAAATCTCTATACTAGGTATACCTACTATAATAGTATAGGTAGGCCTATAGCACAACTTTTAACCTTTAACTTTCATTGTAAAAGCTAAATGTAAAGTAAGAGTTTTCAGGTAGGATAGCCTAACATAATAACATTCCCCCAACACTTGATCGACAATTCTACGGACCCGCCTGCAGATTCGCGCATCTGTGACACTCATAAATAATTTCTTAAATACATCTTAACGGGTCTGTATGAATTTTGGAATGTGAGTAGGTATTAATTATCGATACGCTGCCGTAGGAATCATTAAAAATTTTTGCATGAATTAATTCCTAACCTAACTTAATCTAACCTAACCTAATGATAAGTCATGTAAAAATCTGTAATAATTCCTGCGACAGCGTACGTATTGATCATTAATACTCACATTCCAAAATTTGAGCAGATGATGCAGATCCGTTGAGTATTGAAGGAATTATGTGTGTCCCAGTTGCTTAAAAAAAAACGTTTATTGGTTTTAATTAAAAAATAAAACATTTAAAAATCTGTAATAATTCATGCGGCAGCATATCAATAATTAATACTCACATTCCAAAATTCATACAGATCCGTTATGTATTGAAGGCATAGTGGCAAAGCAGCAATTTTTTTAGACTCTTCATCAAGTTCATTTTTGAGTCCTATAAGTAGACCAGGAAAGTATCTTGGATACCAGCATTATCATACATAAGGAATTGGTTTAGATATTGAGTGGATGAGGAAATTAAAAATGAACTGATTCTAAAAAATCTCTGGTTTGCCACTATGATTGAAGGAATTATGAGTGTCCCAGTTGCTTAAAAAATACGTTTATGGGTTTTAATTAAAAAATAATTCATGTAAAAATCTATAATAATTCATGCGGCAGCATATCAATAATTAATACTCACATTCCAAAATTCATACAGATCCGTTATGTATTGAAGGAATTATGAGTGTCCCAGTTGCTTAAAAAATACGTTTATGGGTTTTAATTAAAAAATAATTCATGTAAAAATCTATAATAATTCCTGCGGCAGCATATAAATAATTAATACTCACATTCCAAAATTCATACAAATTTAATACTCACATTCCAAAATTCATACAGATCCGTTAAGTATTGAAGGAATTATGAGTGTCCCAGTTGCTTAAAAAATATGTTTATTGGTTTTAATTAAAAAACAATTCATGTAAAATCTAATAATTCCTGTGGCAGCGTATCGATAATTAATACTCACATTCCAAAGTTAATACAGATCCGTTAAGTATTGAAGGAATTAGGAGTGTCCCAGTTGCTTAAAAAATACGTTTATTGGTTTTAATTAAAAAATAAGTCATGTAAAAATCTGTAATAATTCCTGCGGCAGTGTATCGATAATTAATACCGTACTCACATTCCAAAATTCATACAGATCCGTTAAGTATTTAAGGAATTATGAGTGTCCCAGTTGCGCGAGTCCGCAGGTGGGTCCGTATGGTCTATTGAGTTCCCCCAACTCCCAAGTAAAACTTTTAAACAAGTTTTACTGTTTTGGCTTTAAAAAATGAAATCTATAATTCAGAACTTGTAGTTCATGCAGGTTATTGATATTTAGACAGTTTACAGAATAAATATATAGGGTAAATGTGGTATATTCTGACACATTAAAGACGTAGCAAAAAATGAATGGCTATAAAAATATCACCGTGTGCGCAACTTGAGTTCTGACTGCTTTACGTCACTCTCAAAACACCACACTACGTGCCAGCAACAATGAAACGTCACAAACTGTTGCCAAATTTATTTAAAAGCCTTTAGAATTCAAACCTACAAATTCCCTGAATTCCGACACTGTGTGCGACTAAATGTGGCATATTGGGAGACTAATTCCGGCAACGCTTCAAACTCTATTAATTTGTAATTAGGGCACCCTGTTTCGGAATTCCGATGCCCTGTGTGAGCTGTATCAGAATACGACACAGCTCAGAACAAGCTTAATTAAAAAATTTTAATTTTTTAATTAAGAGCTATTAAGCTTTTAATTAAGAAATTTTATTTTTTGGACACAGCTCAGAACAAGCTGTGTTGAAATTAGTTTTTATGTGTCTAAAACCGTTGCTTAACTTAATCAGCTATTAATTTGTTTACCACTTGAAATCAGCAAATACTAGTATACTTGAAGGATTCCTAATATATTCACAGACTTATTTAAAAAACTCGAATCATAATATTCTTTCTACACAAACAGTTTATCACCATTTCCATTTGGTAGAGCAAGGTCAACTATCAACTTTGACACGTTTTTTGATGTTCTCACTGGGTGACGTGCACTGTCTCTCTTTGGATCTTAACATTTTCCCACCAGACGGCCCAGACCTAGTGTTTTGGCAATAGTATGGCGCGCAATAGTATGATGTCACTATTTCAACCATCAATGATTGACAAAGGAACTAAGCATGGAACTGAGACTAAGCTTAATATAAAGGAAAAAATTGAGAAATGTTGGAATTACCCACGATGTCGGAATATACCACGTTTATCCTAGGTAGGCTTAGTACATGATCTGCCTGAAGGGCTGAAGCCAAGTAAGGAGACTTCAGACTCTTTTCTACCACTGCCTACATCTGGATTTTTTTAAAGAATTGAGTTGAAATATTTTTCAGCCTCGAAAATTTCCAAGTCATGAGTTGATGTTGATCATTTCTTGATTGTTTAATCTAAACTTTACAATTTTCAATGGTCATCTGGTATTTTTCAAGTAAATGGCTTTGGTTAATGGTGAATAATTTTTAAAAAGTCATGAATTTCAGATTAATCTATTATTTTATTAAAACCACAATAAAAAATCCCACTTGAGCACGTGAGTTGAATTGAGGCAGATTTGCTTAATAAAAAGTGACTGAAGCTAGTATATAATATTCCTGCTTATCACTGAAATCCTGTGGCAGTGGCAGACTGGCTCTAATATCACTGGTGTGTGGTGTGCCTGTGTCAGGCTGTGTGAAATATATCTATCTACCTTTTGGGCCGGGCATGAAATATATCCACTGTTCAAGCCTAAAGTAAAGGCTCAAGCCACAACTTGAGATTTCCTGCTGTTTTTGGAGCCATGAGATTCCTGCCAGACTAGGTGAATTATCTGCTATCATATTGTTAATAAAATTACACAATCTGGGCACAAGATTCCAAATGGATTGAAAATTGGTCACTTTGCAGCTGTGAAATTTCATTTGCAAGTAGGAAAATTCCAATCAAGTTTTTGACCATGAACACTGGCAACTAGAAATTTTCCACCAATTTTGGAATTGGGTGCGTGCTCACCTCCAGTCAAGACCTTTAAATTTGTCATTCATGCTGCATAAAAGCTCTTTTACTAGCATCACAAAACAAACGCACGGTTTGGCAGTTAACTAAAAGTTCAATTAACAAGTATTCATAACATTCCTAAAAAGACTAAAACATTCCCTTGTGCATATCAACATCCTAAAAGAAAAAAACAGCAACAATGCACTAAGAACATTTGGCATGGTCACCTTTGCCTTCCCAATCCCACCTACCCCTCTCAACCCTCCACTCCTCAAGACCCCATTCTTATCATTCTCCTCTCCCTCAACCTCCACACTTTTTCCAAATGTCTTTTCACACTTTCAAGTATAGCTGCATTTGCTCCCTCAGACAGACCCACAATCATTTCAATCTGCTCTTTGCTTGTTCTCTCATACCCCACTTGGTTAATCTAACCTCCTTCATTCAGAATCACCTCCTTCATAGACTTATGCCTTCTCTCATATGCCCCATATTCCATTAAAAAGTGAAATGCAGTTTTCTTCTCATCCCCATCACCCATGAAACATCTATCTTGTGTAGGATCTGCAAGATTCCTGCTAGATGAATTACCCTCCATCCTTTTTTTAACAAAATTTCTCAATTGAACAGCACTTCAGGCAAGATTCCAAATGCATTGAAAATTTGTCCCTTTGATGCCATGAAATCACAGTAATGAGTAGGAAAATGCTAATTCTGTAGTATGATCTATTTTTCCTCTATTTGGAATTTTGCAGCCCAATCATGCATTTTTGCCAACAATTAGATTAGAGATAATTAATCTAGAAGGCATCTTGATACTCTTAAAATGGTAGGAAAGCTCTAGTTGCAGCTTGAATGGTATCTATGTATGTATATATTTCATGTCAGATCTGAAGCATTGTTTTTCATTTTAGTATAATACATCTTTATAGTATTTTCAATTGCTTTAAGCAAAACTGTTCAATAAGTCATGATTGATGATTCATGACTTATTTAACAATTAATTCATCAAAATCTCAATTGAGTGTCATATTCTCTTCTGCAAATGGGATATCTGTCCCCTAAATTTTCTAGATTGGAATCATTGGAGATTATTTTCTTGTAGAATAAATTTCAATTTATATAATATAGGTATAGGTATATTTGTATATAGGTACCAAACTTCTTTGCAATCTTAAGCATGTGCTATGTCTTCACCAGTTTAACTGCTTGACTGTTACCACAAATAAAAAGTATTTAATAGGGATGTGTCAGTCTTTCAACTATGGTTTTACATAGGGACAGCACAATTAGAAACGGCCTTTTTACTGACATTTTGCATCCCTCAAGTTGGGATTTATGGCCATATATAAAATTTCATAGCACTAAACTAATTTATTTCTTTTGAATTTAATTTTTCAACCATCAGTATCAGAAATTTTAATAGGTATGTATATTAAAAAATGTTTGCTCAGAACATCAAAAATTGCTGCTATGAAGCCATTGTAGTTGATGAACTTTATTATCGAAGTTAGTTATTAAAGCATCTGCAGATTTTAAAGTTAATATCACTTCAGACCAAAGATGCTGCCAAAGATGTAAATCTTATCCCAGTTTTTGCCACCAGGAGTTATCAAATATTGTCATTAATTTTTCTCTATTGTTCCTATCTATAACACTGCTCCTCTTGTCCATCTCAAATCTAGGAAAATGTCTGGAAATAATTTACTAGCATGTCCTCCTCAGCTCAAGGCTATTCAGCACTATCTCAAATTGGGAGTTGACTATGAAGGCAGGGAGCCTGTGATCACTTATTGGGGTGAGTCTCATTAGATGAGAAGAAATGTATGATTTACTTGTTATTGATATTGAAACAATAAGGAAAGATGATTGAAAATTACTGCCATGTTTTGCGGTGTGGTTCTGGGTAGTTTGATACTCCATATTCTACAATGCTTGTCATGATCATGGGTTTTTTCATACACTGGATGGGAGTGAATTCAACACTTATTTCAAGACATTCAGTGGTACATGGTTCACCATGAAACACTTTTACCTAGATATGGTTGGAATTGTTGAAAGGTAATTAAGCTCTATTTTTATTGGCCTGAATATTTGCCCATGAAATATCCTTGAGGCCTTAATAACTGATTTTTTGTTGATGAACTTTTATATTAATCTTCATTTGAGCAGCTAGACTGTACTCTCTACAGACGGCACTCAAGATTGATAAGAAATCTCCTGAAGCTCGCACACTCCTGGCTGGTCTTATGGACTGGCTGGAGGCATTTAAAAAAGTTTGTTTATTTGAATGAAGCTTTTTTAGTGTTTTATTTTGTCTTATAATTGACTTATATATGGCTGATAGACAGTTAATTAATGTCTATCTTCAAACGTAGTAATTTTAATTTTTTTTGCAATAAGATCTTTTTTTTTTTTTGGGGGGGGGGGGGGTCATCATTATCTGTTCCAACATTGATTCATTGATCATATAATAGAATGATAATGAATTCTAATTTTTGGTTTCTGAAATTCATAGTAGGTAAATCGTATGAACTCTTGGTATAATTTTAAATATAATCTTGCGTCTCCTCAGAACAACCATGACAATGAAGCCATCTCCAGTGATGTTGCTGGCCAGGCTCTGCTAGAAAATGAGGCCAACAAACTTTTCATGTTTGCTGATTCAAATGACAGGGCTGGCAACTTTAACAAGTCAGTAAAAGCTTACACTCGGGTATAGAATTCACTCATCATTTGGATTTCAAGGACCTTCATTTACAAGCACAGTATTTGAGCATCAGAAATCGCCTTTCTTCATTTTGCATGCACACGAGTTTAATGTTTATTTTTATATGTTGTTTTAGGTGTTTTCATTTGATATTTGCATTGCAGGAATGTAGTGAAGAGCTTTTACACAGCTGGCGTGATACTGGATGTATGCGATGTGTTTGGTGAGCTCAGTGAAGAAGTTCTGGCACAGAGAAAGTATGCTAAATGGAAGGCCACCTACATTCACAACTGCCTCAAACAAGGCCAAACTCCTATACCAGGACCCATAGGAGGTGATGAAGGTAAGTATTTGGTGATTTGATCCCTTTTTTGCTCTCAAATAAATTTATACATCAAAAAATTTTACACTTCGTCGTTTTCATTGAATCCTGTCTAGAAATCGTTTGCCTATAATAAGTACTAGAAATTATTTTATTTATATTATTAAGGGAAATAAATTTGTCTAACAAAGAATATTAGATTAAATTTTCCATTCAGTTTTCTGGATTTACTAGCTGGCAATGGTGGACTACTTCATCACCTTCCATGAAGAAAACTAATTTCCAAAATTCACCATGTAAAGCCCATCTTCCACATGAATGAACCAGTTTTCAAGGATCTAATTATTTAATAATTTATTCAGCAGTTGCTTTTGTCTATAAAAACCCCACTGTTAGTGGTCAAAACTATACCTTGATGCACTGCTTGTGCTTTCCATTCGACTTACTATGAACAGATGGTCCCACAACGGGAGATGAACTTGGTTTCACAGTGCCTCAAGGTCCAGCACCCAGCTCCGAACAGACCTCGACCTACAACCCTCCTGTCTTGCCCACACAGCCTAGTCTGCCTCCCGTGGCTGCCTCGTCTCCTGCTCACGACACTCAGGTGACTGATCAGCTGAAACCTTATGAAAAATAGCTTATTACATGCTAGAAATTGCTGCTACCTGTAGGTACTTTGGGTGCTGCGCGTACCTAAGCTAGTTTTGATGACCGAGTGCTGTGCTTATGGAATGTCTACTTAGCGGTTATTTGAATTATTACAAGTTCAAACCAAGAGTTTAGTTGACACTCATGGGACGAATGCAGCGATTTCATACTCGTTATTACATTTTTCATGCAAAAAAGTGATTTAGAAGATGTTCAGAGATGTACATTATGTTCCATGTTTAGATGTGTAAATCAAAGTGAGATGTGTGGGTCAGTTGAATGAAAGTAAATTTATGTATTTATTATTATAATTTTTTTAATTCTCTCATCCAGCTCACAAATTTGTCTCTGCGATGAACTGTTTTGAATTTTCTTCTTCCTTCTTACGGATAAATGCCAATATATTCCCCTCGCTAATATATTCCCTAAACGTTTAGCTGACAAAATTCTACCATGCATATGAGAACGGTTTTACACTTCATTAAACAAACGACTTTATATTCAACAAGTTTATTTATGAATGTGTAAAACAAATTAAATTGTTTCTGAATATTTCAGTAGCAGTTTATGTTGCAGATCTTCATTATTTCGCAATTGAATATTGCGAAATATTGAAGTCTTAGTTGAGATGAATGTACGAACTTACTTCTTCCATGTGGACAAGTCTGTAATAAATAACATATGTATACATTCAATTAAAGGTAATGTTACCCCTCTTTGGTTGTCCATGACATACAGTACATCGATATACGGGATTGAATTAAAAATAATCTTGATGAAACAACACTATGAATTGAATTGACAAACATGAAGCCAATGAATGACAATTTCCATCGCAATTAAATTAAATGACATCAGGAACGCCATTGCTTATTCCAATCGACTTCTGAAGTATTATACTAGCTTTCGTTAAACATTTTGTGCTGCAGCAAATTATATCTTAGTTATATATTTCTATAAAGTCTCAATTAACACGTTAAAAGCGAGAAAATCTTGTGTTTTTCGTAACCTGTTAAATTAAGGTCAATACAATAATTGAAGGGATTTTGTTTAGTCGTATCATAAATTCTAATTTTTCAACTGTAGATTCAATAAGCTTTTTCATAATTGCCTTGACAATTACAAATTGATAATTGGTATGATTTTGGAAAATCATGACAGGCCAAAACTGGCCTATTCCGCGTCTATACTAATATACTATCTACTAATTCATATATTTATATATACTATAATAACTCTTGTTGCCCACAGCCTGCAGCCAGCAAGTGTCCCGTATCTGCAGCAGACATCAAGATGGCGCGCAAGCACTGCAAGTGGGCGGATAGTGCACTTGACTACGAGGATATCACCACGGCTGTAGAAAACCTTACCAAAGCCTTACAATTGCTTAAAGGTAACCTCTCTTAAAAGAGGCGCATGGTGTTGGGTCAGATGGAAGAATGTGGGCCGCTTCTAAGAATTTCAACGGAAAAGCAAGTAATGAGATTTTCGAGTTCTCGATTGAAGTGCATTATTTCTTAGTCATTATTCAACCTTGTAAAATGATGCCGAGTAACCGACTTGACCGAAATAAGAACTGAAATGGAAATAGACGAATGTAACTAGGGTGGACGATAGGCAGCGGCCACAACGGCCATTTGCCATTTATTACTAGAGGCAACATGAAATACCAGAATTCAACTGCATTTCAACAGCACAGTTCTAGTCTTGAACAAGAATCTGTGAAAAGCTTCATGAATAAAATCCATGGCTTTGAAGAAAATTTAGTAAACATGATCTCTTTTTATACGATTTGCATGCAGATTGATTGTGGTCGTAGTTGATAGATAAAATTACAAACTTTTGAAGCCCCTGAATATGACGTAACACAGTGAATTATTTCTGAAATGCTAGAATCATTGTGACTTTCATTGTGACCGTGATTGCGATTGCTAATAGTAATATTAGTTATAACTAATCTTAAGCACATATACGTAATTTTTTACGTTTGCGTTAGATAAGTGCCGTCTGGATAATATATTAAATACAGAAGATGCATATTCTAACGAAATAAAAATCATGAATCATAAAGTAATAATAAAAAATATCTTCATTATCCTAAAATTTGTACAAAAGATCTATAAATTTGGATGATCACGGCGGCCAACTACCACTTTTCATCCAGGCATACGCAAGAAAATCGCTACCAATCTATTCATGAACAAAAAAATTTAATTGACTTATATGAGCAGAGCTAATACTTTACAGTACTAAAAAAATTTAAGATCAAATGGAATTCTTGGTCTGCCAACTTTCTGCAACAGGTGCCTTTAAAATATTAGGTTTGACTGAAACTCTTAGCTCGAATACAGTATAGCTTGGAAGACGTTGCACTCGTAGGAGTAAAATTCTGTGTTGTACACTAAATATGTTGATCTTAATATATACTCAAGAAATAAATACCGATACTCAAGAAATAAATACTTACGCATAACATGCAGAGAAAAACATAACAAAAACAGACTCATCGATACAAAGAAGGTGGTCACAGTTGATTGCCATCACCCAACCAAATTATACGTGACTAACAATAAATACCTACTAATAATAAAACTACAGTAGTAACAAAACATAACTCATGCAATTATTTTCAATAAAGTTCATTGGCAGTTTAATAATTTCTAACACGGCGATAGCAGCAATTTACGGCTCTTGAAGGGATATCTGAAATGGTGCACGGAATGCATCGTAATTGCTTCTCTGCTGTTCCCCATGAGCTCATGAGACTAGAGCTCATGAAAGTCTCTCCCTGTTCCGAGCTTGTATTGTGAATGTACCGAGGGTCCCGGATATTACGAGGCCCCAGGTGAGGGGACGACGAGATGTCCTGAGGCCTGGAAGACGTCCACTCCGCCGTGCAAGAGGCACACGCGCGCCACGCCCGCCTCGACCAACTGCTCACACACCTGCACAGGTTTATTCATGAGCGTCTGGTGCGAGTTACTTTTTTTGTATTCATTGTTATGAAATTACACAAGATAAAATGGCATGGCTCAATAAGTAGGATGGCCACGCCCGCCTCGACCTGCTGCTCACACACCTGCACAATTTTGTTCATGAGCGTCAGGTGCATGTTACTTTTTAGCTCATTTTCTCATTTATTGAAAAATGCCCTTTTGTGCTCGTCATGTCCGTCCGTCCGTTTGTCTGTTGTTTGTCCGAGACTTCACGTTTTCGTCGACGAGAAAATGCGCTCTCTGTCACTTACTGCAGTGAGTACCTACCGAGTTATTATTTTTTTTGCATTCATTGTTGGGAAATTACACAAGATGAATTGCCATGGTTCAATAAGTAGGTTGGCCACGCCGTCCTCGATTAGCTGTTCCCACACCTGCAGTTGTTCGATCATAAGCCTCAGGTTTCACTGTTTCAGGTCCCAATATTTTGTTTTATGCTGATATATAGCAAGTAATTTAAATTGGTCCAGTATTCATGTTGAACGCTATACTGAAGTGCATTGTTACAACTTGTAAAAAACATCGACAATTCATTTGAAAATTCTACAAATGTATTTTTGGTTAGAAAGTGAATTTGGTCTTGAAAAAATACCCTACAAATATACTAAAGGTAATCAAGCGTGAAGATTAAAATATATTCATGTCATGAAACATAATTTCGTGCAAGATTAATAATTATTAGAAATTATTCTGTACTGCAGATTTTAATAATCCTGGACATTGGACACACGCGTAAGATGATCACGACACCTGAAGGGTAAGATGATGGGCGGCTTTGGTGCCCATGACGACGACGGCCATTTTGCCCACCGCCCTCAGCTTGGCCTGCTCGAGGACAAGTTGAGGGCCCCCGTCCTCAGAGGGAGAGTCTCCTTCCCTCATCCACAACTCCCCAGGCGCATTCCAGGCGTTCATCAGAGAACCCGTTTGAAATCTGCAGGGATTATTTCCATGACAAACTAATAAAATAAATTTTTACACCAGAGATAAAGGCAGAATAGCCTGAAATAATGAATGATCTCACAGACAGATCGATTGAATGCCAGTAAGTTTGAATCATGACTGAATATAATAAAGAATAACGAATAAATCCTTTAAATAAATAAATCCAGAATTAAATATCTCCACAATCCCCATTTTTCCAAAAATACTCAAGTTTTCCTACGACGATGACAAGACGTGGATTGCATGAGCACAATCTGCCTTAAATCAACTCCTTGTAGCACGACGAGCAGTGAGCCGGACTTACAGGTGCTGGGGCCTGGTGTCCACGACGAGCAGTGAGCCGGACTTACAGGTGCTGGGGTCTGGTGTCCACGACGAGCAGTAAGCCGGACTTACAGGTGCTGGGGTCTGGTGTCCACGACGAGCAGTAAGCTAGCCGGACTTACAGGTGCTGGGGTCTGGTGTCCACGACGAGCAGTGAGCCGGACTTACAGGTGCTGGGGTCTGGTGTCCACGACGAGCAGTGAGTCGGACTTACAGGTGCTGGGGTCTGGTGTCCACGACGAGCAGTAAGCCGGACTTACAGGTGCTGGGGCCTGGTGTCCACGACGAGCAGTGAGCCGGGCAGAGCTTCACTGAGCCGCACGACGTCCGCACCGCTGATGCGTCCGCAGATCTCACTCCGCTGCTCCGCTAGTGTAATGCTGCTCAGATCATTCTGGAAAGATATAATAGTCGTAATTTTCATGATGATATAGAGAGTTACATAATATTAAAGCCATCCCATTCTAAAGGCTTTTTTGCCGTTTTGTACTCAATTGTTCATGCAACTTATAGTATGTCATCGCAAATGTATTCTTATTAGTACTTTATTTACACTTATAAAACGTCAGGTTCACCTGATAGTTCTTCAGTTAGAAAAAGTCTGATGACATTGTCAATTGTTGTTTATGGAGTTCATATAAGTGTAAAAATAATCACAAATAGTTGAACTTATTTGTTTGGCAAGGAGTCGGGTCAGTAGCAACTTTAATCATGGTTTAATAGAATCTTCACTGCCGTGGGTGCTAAAAGACCGTTTTAACCTTAGTCTACGAGTAAATGTCTAGGTTAATGTCATCAGGGTTCAGTAAGACGACATTTATTTCAATGGGAACCTAAATGCTTACTAGAGGGCCTGACAAATGTTGCTCTGTGTCCCGGTCAGACGAAGGCGGCGCGTGGTGGCGGTACAGCAAACTCACGGGCGTCTCAAGGTGCAGGTCAACTGAGTCCTTCACCACCTGCTCTATGTTGATGTCTGCATGAAATTAATAAATCAATTAATTACGGCATTGATAAATTACTAAGAACAAGTTCAAAATTCTGAAAAATTTCACCAAATTAAGAAAAACAGTAAAAAATTGTTAGTAAAATTACTCCCGGGTCTTCAACAAAATCTGCATTAAAGAACAACTGATTAGCTACGGCAATATACAGAAAATAATATACTTACATTGTTTGCGTAAATGAATACCTACGGGCGTTTTAATTAATAAGTGCATACAAAAATTTATCACTTTATGATAATGGTCCACAAAGAGGCATGGTGATAGTGTAGTAAACAATTGTGACACTATCAGACAGAGTATCACCCGTTACAAGGCATTGAGCCACGTCATTCAAGTCTACTACTCTCGTGGTCTGATGGAAAACTACACCAACAGTGACATGCAGGGTTAACCAGAGAAACTCTTGTCGTCCGACGATCCTTTTTAAACTTTTCTTAGTTTTCTCGAGGTGTAACCAACCCTCAATGTTCAGATTGTACCAGACATCACAATAATCTCATCGTAGAATAATAATAACCATAATAACTCTCAAATGGCATGTACGCATGTACAAGAGCGCAGGCATCTATACATTGGGTTACCTATAGGTATTCCCGGGCCGAACTGGGCCAGGATGACCCACACAAGGGCAAAAAGTGCATCACTATTAGGACAAAGACCCTGGAATTTTTCTGTGTATAGTAAGCCTTTGACTCCATGAACCTCAGTAACTTGTGACCTGGCATGTCCGAGAAGAGCAGGATGCAGTCGTTGAATGAGAAGTCGAGGAGCTGGTGCCGCAGGTGTCGAAGGATGGCCGCCGCCACACAGAGCGCTAGTGACGCGGGGTGCAGCAGCAGCGTATCCCACACGTGGAAAATTTGGCTCAGCGGGAACACGTCTGTGATAATATGAAATAAAAGTTGAATTTTTTTCGAAAACTCGGAAGATTTCTTGGAAATAATATGCAACAAGATGCAAATGATGGAGATGTCGTTATTATATATACAGGGTAATGAACTTGGGTGATACGTCAAATATAATAAAACTTGTATCTATACACAACAAAGTTCACACACATGCACTAAATGACCTGAAACGTACGTGTATACATAGTGAGGAACCACGGAATTGCATAAAGCTCTGGCACGAAGCCAATGGAAGCAAGGTGGGAGAACAGCAAGGGATCATGGAAGGCGACCAGATGACAAAATTTCGCCAGGTACTCCTGAATAACGGCGCTGTTGTCTCGTAAGAAGAACTTGTGAAGGTATTTCTTGATGAAGGCTGTGAGGCATGCGTACGCCAACGCTGCAAAACACAACAACATCCGAGGTGGGTGAGATCTCTCTCTTCAATATCGTGGTCTTGAAGCCAAATACTAGACCAGTGATTCCTAAAATTTGTGCCTTATCACACGGGACTAATTTATCAGTTTTCAGGAGGTATTTTTTAGATTAAAAAAAGCAATTCTCATTTTAAATTAATAATAATATATCTTGAAAGAGTCCATTATGCCATAATATGCTTATTATAGCATGTTAAATTCAGTATCAAATTTAGGAACCATAGCACTAGACAAAGAATACGTTGCTTAAACCTCGCAAAAAATATAGAAAAAAAAATTTACGCCATTTCCATTAAAAACTTGGGATGAAGATGTAGTGAATTTAATGCCGTTTCCTATCTTTTTAAATTCTTGGTGTACTTGCAATTTCAGCATATTTATTGTACAAAGAACAGTATTAAAACTGTTATAGATTATATACCGTTATAGGTTATATACCGGAACTGCCATAGATTATCGTGAATCTACCTTCTTATTTAACTTAAGGTAGAGAAAGGGGGCGGTAAGTGAGTCCAGTCCCTGCCAGTACACGAGCCCGGGATGTGATACTGTTATAGATTATATATTGTTATAGATTATATACCGTTAGATTATAATACTGTTATAGATTATATATTGTTATAGATTATATACCGTTAGATTATAATACTGTTATAGATTATATATTGTTATAGATTATATACCGTTATAGATTACATACTGTTATAGATTATATATTGTTATAGATTATATACCGTTATAGATTATAATACTGTTATAGATTATATATTGTTATAGATTATATACCGTTATAGATTACATACTGTTGTAGATTATATACCGTTATAGATTATATACTGTCATAGATTATCGTGAATCTACCTTCGTTATTGAAGTTAAGGTAGAGAAATGGAGCGGTTAATGAGTCAAGTCCCTGCCAGTACACGAGCCCGGGATGTGAGACCACCCAGGCCTTGAGGAGGCGAGTGAACTTCTGGTGAGCGCGGGGCGAGGAGAGCAGCTCGTCGTACTGGTGGCAGCGAGGGATGTCCACTTCGATCTGTCAACATGTATCATCAGAAATTGTACTTTTTAACGCATTTTCTCATTTATGAAAAACATGTCCTATTGTGCTCGTCATGTCCGTCCGTCCGTCCGTCCGGTCCGTCCGTCCGTAATTTCTTGTTTTTGTCGATTCTGAGGAAATGCGCTCTCTGTCACTCACTGCAGTGAGTACTGAGTTATAATTTTTTGGGTAGTTAAAATGACGTCCGTCCGTCTGTCCATCCGTCCGTGACTTCATGTTTTCGTGGATTCCGAGAAAATGCGCTCTCTGTCACTCACTGCAGTGAGTCCTGAGTTATATTTATTGGGTAGTTGAAATGATGGCGCATGGAGTTTTTACATTAAATTTATGTTTCCTGAAGTACCTATCAAGATAATTGTACCGCAAATTGTTACATCAAATAAATGGTACAGAGATATTGGTACATATACATGAAGCCATATGAACAATAGCTTTGTGGACACAAGAACCGTCTCCTCACACACAAATAGAGATGATGTTTTTTTTCTACTGACCTCCTTATAAAAAATATAGTTATCATTCGCAGACACTTAAAAGTAAAGATTTATTAAAAATTTCAGAGTGTAAAAAAATTAATCTGAACCCCAAATGCTTCTAGAACTAATGATATCGACAGAGCCATCCACGAATTCTTTTCAGTTCTTTGAATAAAATTTACCACGCTGGTAGATGAAAAATCATGTTGTTGCCAGTGCAATCTAAGCAGATGCAATAATTTGATATTTTTTATGTGCTAACTCATCGACTACAGAAGGTAACTCAGGTTAAAAAGGCTTGAGATGCGAAGGCCATTGCTTTTGTTCATAACCTGAGATAAACGTTTTTGTTTACGGATATGGATCACGAAACATCACAAATACGAACAACTAAATAAAAAATTCTACATTACAACTTTTCATCTCTCACAACAACATAGGAAAAAATATATAACGCAGTACTCACTGCAGTGAGTGACAGAGAGCGCATTTTCTCGTCGACGAAAACGTGAAGTCACGGACGGACAAACAGACGGACGGGGAAGGACAGACGGACATGGCGAGCACAATAGTGATTTTTTTTCATAAATGAAAAAATGCGCTAAAAAGATCAATCAATATAAAATGCAACATCGTAAATCTCGTGCTAGACAAGGAGAAAACAGTGACTATCATTAATCAATCAAATTTATCAATTAGATCATCAAATTACTTGACGGTCCGTTGAGGTTGGGGTAACTTTATCAATTTCAGCGTAAGTGGAGATGGTGTCACCGTCCACCCCCAGCAGCGCGGCCCACACCTCGCCTCGGTGGTACGGCGGGATGTCCATGTGAGCGTCCGCTACGATGCGTGACCGGTAGTATGGATATGCCTGCGGTCACATTACTGTAGTAATTAATGGAATTTAATGTAGGTCACATTATTGTATGTAATTGAAAGAAATGTCTTTGTGCAGTGTCTTTTAAATTTACCAGCGCAAATGAAAATATTGTTAAATATGTAAAAAAACTAGTTAGAAAATTATCAATGAAACTAATTCTCTTGTCTTCAATCACACAAAATTTGAAAAATTGCTTACGGAAAAATAATATAATCAATTAGCTTCTACTACTAGTAAATATCAACGGGTTATAGCAGCAGTGATGTTGAGTGATGCACGCACTCTGAGCAGACGGTGGAAGAGGAAGATGTTGAGTGATGCACTCACCCTGAGCAGGCGGTGGTAGAGGAGGATGTTGAGTGATGCACTCACCCTGAGCAGGCGGTGGAAGAGGAGGATGTTGAGTGATGCACTCACCCTGAGCAGGCAGTGGAAGAGGAGGATGTTGAGTGATGCACTCACCCTGAGCAGGCGGTGGAAGAGGAGGATGTTGAGTGATGCACTCACCCTGAGCAGGCGGTGGAAGAGAATGATGCGGTGAAACTGATACTCGACGTCCTTCTCCCTGATCACCAGAGGCAGCTTCCTGGCCTCAGTGTCTTCGCTGCTGCTTTTTCTGAGGATTCAATATCTTGATTACGATGATGATTTCAACTTCATTTTCTAAAATTCATTAAATAGCTTTACGAATAAAAATAATTTAGATTATATTTGCAGACTAATAGGTTATAATACATTAACAAATACCACATGGTGAGTGGTTAAGGATACATGCTAACCTTTGATTTGCTTGTTTCTAATGAGGAACATATCCGTATTTAGTCAATTTAAAAAATAGGACAGTTTGGTAAAACTCGTACTTTGAACATTATTTCCAGTACATATTTCAGCTATAGTTGGCCTAAAACTCCAGGCTCATAAAACCTTAGAATTGATTCCTGGATTTCATTTTCCCAGATGAAATTTTGCATCTGCAAGACCAAGACTGCCGAATAACAGTGTGCAGAAATCAAGAAAAATGACTAGGCAAAACAATTACTGATCAGAAATTAGTAACTTCTCGAATATTTCAGTCTCGGAAAAACTTCTACATTTACCAACTAATCTTTCTGAAATTTCACACACATACGTAAAAGGTAACATAAAAATAAATGGCTCGCATGATTTTCTTGATAAAATGAAAGAAAACATGAAATTAATTGAAAACGGCAAAAAAGGGGTACTTGAGAAAGTTTATAACTCTTGCAAATCACATGATATAATATCGAGACACATTTCATTCGATTCGTAACAAAGTTATGTAGCGGCTCTAGAGCCCCGATTTTCGATTTTCCTCGCAGTTTTTCTTTTATGCACGTTTTTCCATTTTCACACATTTTCCCCCTACACCCCCAATCCCCCCATATATAAGTTGAACCATGCAAAAATGGTTAGTTGAACCACACAGCCTTGGGCTCCTAGAGTCGCTAGGTATGGTCTTTACAAATCGAATTATATGTCTTTCACTGCTCTAGCTTAAATACTGTAGGAGTTATAAAGTTTTTAAGGTGGCGTTTTTAGATATTTAAAATGGTTCAGCAGAGCCAAATAAAGTAAAATTTATTGCAAAAAGAAGAATATGCCAAAAAAAATCTTGAAATTGTAGCCCAAGCTTCCCAATTGCCAATTATTTGCATTTAGGGTACCAGCACAGGTTTTCAGACTTATTCTTTTCCAATTTAACGTGAATAATGAGCTATAAATGGGACTTTTTATAATCATATATGTATAACTATTCATTTTATACAAGTTTAAAACTGCATTACACAAAAATTATTGCATGTTCATCCGTGATATTTGCTTTCTTGAACGCGCATCGTTCGTAGCTTTCAAACGAGTGCAAACACTTAGCAATTAATGCAAATAATTATCAATAAATACACTTTTTCAATAAAAATTTGTAAATATTGTAATAAAATGGTCGTTTTATAAAAGTTCAAAACTGCATTACGCAAAAATTATAGCTTGTACATCCATGATAGTAGCTTTGTTGAACGCGTCTTGCTTGTAACTTTCAAACGAAAAGCTTGTAGCTTTCAAACGAGTGCAAGCACTTTGCAATTAACGAGAGTAATGATCTATATATATAGATTTAATTCAAATAAATCTTTGTAGGTATTGTTAAAAAATGTTCATTTGATATATTTTTAAAATTGCTTTAAGTAAAAACTATAGCACGCACATACATGCAGTTTGCTGCGTTAGATGTGCCTTTTCAGCAGCTACAAAATGAGCCAAGAAAACGGAAAAGCCAAAATTATCAATTTTTTAACAAGCCAGTCCCCTTAATTAAGAGGGCATTGAAATACACAGCTGAGAGAAAATCATCAATATCTTTGGCAAAACTTCGAGATCAATGCATAGAAAAGATTAAGATTCCAAATTACAAGAAAAAAGATAAAGTGTAAACACTAGGATAGGCGGGCGGGAGATGATGAAGCCGTGCCGCACGAGCTCCTGCTCCGCCTGTCCTCCCGCCAGCTGCCACAGGTGATACACCTCACGCATGCTGCGCTCACGTAGGCCTCCTATGCCTGTCCTGTAAAATGTATCAGTCTTTAGGCAACGCAAACAACCTTTTTTCAAATGTTGCTACATATCCTGCAAGATGCATCTGCTTATGGTCAATGTGGGTAACAACTTCATCTGCAAGAACTCTTACACCAACCTGTAGCAAGAGGCAGAGGGTACCTCATGAAAAGGGTACATATGACATTATAACTCCAACAATAGGTTTTAACGTTGAGGCAATCATTGAAATGATAATTTATGATATACTAGATCCTAGAACAAGTATGGTACTTATTGAAAAGTGTATCAGTGGAGAAACGTGTCAGTGCAAGAGAAGATAATGTATATCGTATATTAAAGAACAAAATTGAAATTTATATTAATATTTCAAAACATATATCCTGCAACTCAATTAAATAAAGAAGAAACACAATAGATGCTATATATTTCAATGGATTACAGAGATAAACTAGAAATATAATCTCACTTCACGCCATCATGATTGAGTGTCATACAATCATCAGGCAGGGGGTAGTTAGACAGCATTTCGTCCATAGGAGGGAAAGCTTTCCGCGGGGAAGCAATGGTGCAGCGAGGGAAGGGCCGGGGCTGAGGATCCACAGGCGCAGTGAGAGTGAGACCAGCAAATGCAGGATGGCTTAACAGGTCTATTGGTGACGGTCGAGACGTAGGATCAAACTTCAAGCAGGATCGCAGTAGGTCTTGTGTTGCTGCACTAAGCATCTGTAAACAGTTCAAATTTAGCCACAATCGTAGCAGCTGTCGTATTGCTGCACTCAACATCTGCGAAAATATGACTACTCAACATCAAGTAAATAGTATGAAAAAAACATTCAAAAAGACATTATTTATGTTATAGTCTTAGGATACAGGCTTGTGACATTTGAGTGATCAAGGCATGAAAAATGTTAAAAACATACATGCAAGGAAAAAAGATGTGTTGATAACGAGCAAGGCTACCTTAATTGAAGCAACCGCGTATCAAGAACAGTCTTTTACCTCGAATTTTTCAAGCAGTTGGGGTTTCTGATCAATAATTGCAGAAGCAAGGTCGTCATGGTCACTTTTAGATGCCATGAGCAGCACAGTGGCAACGCTGATTTCAAGAGGTTCTTTGTGGCCTGATCTGTCAGTAAAATTATGGTGTGTTAAAGCTTCCAATGACGACAATGTTTATAGCTACAAAATATCTTTAAATTAAATTAAAACAAATTTTCAAGAAGATGATGCAGTAATGATCATGAGATTTTCTTGGACATTAAAGACAAAACAATTATCACAATAGTTAATAAGACAGATTAAACGTTGTCTAAGAACTACTCCAAAACGTCTATAATTTAGTTTTATTGTATCCAAATACATCCATAACAACTAAAATGCAAGACTCTTTATTAGCGAGTTGTTTAGCTAAATGCCTGTAGTTCAATAATTTATCATTTAAGTTAGTTCAATTAGTTGAGACTAATTTTCAAACAAGTTATGTTAGCCACAAAATATTCCATTTGTTTGCAAACTGGTATCAATACTAGAAATAAACTGTTTAATTAACCCTTTGTCTATGAGCACATTAATTATATCAATGCAATTTTTATCTAGAGTTTTGTTACTTGCATATAATGTTATGAGAAGAGGTAATTTCAACAGTTAATCCGAAAGAATGGGTTTATTAAGTAAGGCAATCAAGCCAATCATTCATACTTGGTTTGTGTTGGGAGTATGAGTGAGAGGAACATGAGCGCAAGGCTCCACACATCAGAGGATGGGTTACCACCGCCACCAGCAGGTCGCAGCTCCGGACACGCCCCAGCTATCAGCACTTCAGGAGCACTGAACTCGTTACTTTAGGAGGAAGAATTTTCATTTCATGTTAGTTGAATTCATTGAATAAGATGGCTAAATTAGTGAAAATTTGTCACTTCAATTTTAATTTTCTCCATTATTCTCTACCTGAAAAAAAAAAAAACGGTCCCAAGGTTTTGAACAGACGAATTATAAATTCATGATAATTTGCAAGATTAATAAGCAGATTGAAATTAATTTTCTCAACCCACAAGATAACTATACATTTTTCAAAAAAATTAGATTTTTCTGTAAGTTACATTACATTTACTGACCCAATGGGAAAGGAGACAGCTGTTCCCTGTTCAGTCATATAATATAGTCCATAGCCATTCATCTTGGCCTTTCCATACGGATCAATAAGCAAATTACGAGGGCACAAATTGCAGCAGCACGAGATGCCCAACTTGTTCAAGTAAACTAAGCCTTGCATAACCTGAAATACAGTATATATATCGATAAATAATAGAAGAGCAGACAAGATCTGGAAACAATTAATTGATTTCACATATAGGTACATAAAATATGACCTAACAACATTAAATTACATGATTAAAATTAATGAAATAAATTAACTACTTGCTAGATTTTCAGTGCAGGGATATGAGCTCCTCAACTACCTACAAACAATTGAAACTGCCTCACCTCATGCATCACTTGGATTAACCTTTTTTCAGTTTGGAATTCTTGGTGATTGTTCCAAGCTGCCAGAAGATCACACTTGTAGAACTCTTGAACCACTATAAGTCTTTCTGTAAAAGAAAAAGTAGTAAATAAAAGCAGAATATCTCCTTATCTAGGATGGAAATTTGTTTAAATATCAATTATAGTAAATTATGACATTCTGTTGAAAAACTTTATAAACTAGTTAACTAACAATGATATACAGCAATGCATAAAAAAATGTACGAGCTGGAATCTAAAATTAGTAAGATCTTATCTCTCTATTTATTTGATTTGATAAGCTATTTTATAAAATAAACAACCAGGGCAAATGCCTGTATATATTTGAGATATAATGTTCAAAAAAAACATAGAGTTTTGCCAATCAATTGTGATTGAAACTTCTAGCCTCAACTATGATAATGTTTCTAATAATGATCAAAAGATTAGCAGAAAAATCAACGAGTGCTCACCATGTTTGCCTCGTTGTATAGACACATAGGAGCACAGGTGAGGGTGGGACACGGTGTACAGCAGTTGGGATCGGCCAAGGATCCGGACCGAGTTTGGAGTGAGAGGCAAGCCATTACTTCCACAAGACTCACTGGGGTGTGCAGAGGCTAGGAATGTTGAAGCCCCAAGGCTTGCATACCCCAATGTGTCATTTGATAATCCAATCATTCCTTAAAATTAGATATTTCTGATATTTATACAGCTGAAAAAAGCAGAACTATAGTAAAACATTTCAAACAAGAATACAACAGTGTCATATCCATGATGCACATAGCATGCTATGATGCCAATAATGCCATGCAAGTTTGATCCCTGCTTTCTGAGAGTTCTGTTCTAAATCAGCAAGGTGACCAGGCAGCTGAGCACAGTGGATACTGGAGCCATGTCTGTAAATTGCCTGTTCCAGACAGGAAACATGTTGTGAAAAGTTTTGCAACAGTAAAAATAAGTGACAGGCATAATGGTGAATAGGCATTCAATGCAGGAAGCACTATTATCATTATTTTGTTTATAACCTCAACAAGATCAATGTGTGCATAAGTGAAGTGGATAAATTATAAACAGATTTTAATAGCAGGATGGTAATATTTTTACTCTTAACTCAAATCATTCTACTCCAAAGGGACAAATTTTTAATACATTTGAAATTTTGTGGCCCAATTGAACTCTTTTCTTAACAATTAAACATGTGCTAAACTGGTATTTTATGTGGCAGAAATCTTGCGGTTCCATAAAATGACTGGAATGCTCTAGTGTCTCGTTGTGGCTCAAAAGTTAGATGCTTTCCAAACTGGCTTTTAGAGATGCCAATCTTTATTACTGTGCAGTGAGCAATATATTTAAAAACTTTTGGGCAGAAACCAAATTGAAAAATTAGGCAGAAGCCACCCATGAATCAGCTAGAAATGCCCATGAATTTTGCCAATTTCACAAATTCCTATGGCCCTTTTTAATTTCTTCATTAACACGTTGACTACGATTGCTTTATCTTGTAGTATTATTTCGTTTTTGTACTGTTTTTAAACAGGGTTGCCACAGACTGTCATTTATTCCGGACAAATTCTGTGATTTAGTTTTTCTCAATTGTATTGGCTGGCTAAAATTTATTACAGAGGTACTTCCTAATTAAATTTTAAATACTGCAAAAAGAAAATAAATGGATAAAATGGAATTTTTATAGCGGAACCTATAAATAAACTAGTATATATTAAGTTATCGGCCTTTTTTGTTCTCGGATTTGGCCGATTTTAGGCGACCTGAAATATGTAGGTACCACTACGTCCTGGGAAAATACATTTCGTGGTACGCATACCTATATACCACTTTGGAGTCAACGTGTTAAAAAATGAAAAAGCCTATTTTTACCCATTATTTTTGATGGCTATCATCTGCAATTTCAGGAAAGTTTTGCCTAATATTATAAATAACAGGTGGAATTTGGAAATCATCATTGCATGTGTTATTTTGGAGAATTGTAGCAAAAATTTGTATTTTTCTACTTTTTTATTTTAGATATTGGAAGAAGAGGCATAGAAACTGGTCAAATTGTCTATATTTAGGTACTAAGATTTCTGACTTATTTCTAGATGGATCATGGCTGCAGCCAAATTTTCCAGGTTAGGCAGTAAACTTAAAAGTTAAAACTATGTAGGTACCTTTGTCACCTAGCCTATACTCTATAGCTATTCATGTCCTAGTCTTTATCATTTGTGTTCATGCTATAATTCAGCATCAGGGTATTTTTTCACAAATTACTTTCAACTTGCAACTTGAATTGATCCCTTTCACAGTACCGAGTACTGACACTGACAGTAGTATAGGTATAGTTACTTCATTTTTATACAACTACCAAAGTACCGGTACCAATTAATGAGGCAAATATTATCTCGTATACCTACTTAACTATATGGATGTGACTTTTTACTAGGTAGTTGTTATATAATAATAATAGCAGTTTCAGCAATTAGTAGGCCAGTAGCCTACTGTAGTAGGCCACATCAGGCCTACATTTCAGCGGCCAGCGCCAACATCATTATGTTATGTAGCCCATTCTTAGCATCGCAGAACAATAAGAACATTCACAGTATTTTGCGGTCTCAAACTTGCAACTCAATTCTGCTACAATTCTGTTGTGCTTAACTGCCCGGCCTCTTCGCTGATTCTGACCAGAAACTGACTCACAGTGCTGAGCCTGAGATTGAACCCGCGCCTCCCTGCACTAATCTTGGTGCTCAGACGGCTCACTTCATTGACTTCAACGTTTAACCACTCACCACTGGGCCACCCGCCACCCTGCTACAGTGTTAGTACTTTGGTAGATTTAGGTAGTATCTAGAAAAAAAATTAGGGAAGTCATAAAATGATAAACGTCTAAAATTCAGTTTTATTGTATCCAATTTGTGAAATAATGTCAACATTCAACAAGTTTCATATTCTACCCGATAAAACACAATTTTTCATTTGAAATTCCTCATTTTGACAGAAAAGCTAAGTTTGCTAGTCGTATGACTAATGACTTCAAAGTCCAAGCTTGCTGTGGAGGAAGATGGACAGAGACGAGACTATAGCCTTATAGGTTTTGGGAAAACTGTATTTGGTGGAATCTGGTATACAACTGAGGCATAAAGGCTGGCTGGCCTTACATGACCTACTTTTGACACTAGTAGTTCTACTTGCTTTTAATCTTCTTCTTTGCGGGGGGTCCACGCTGGGTGGACATAAAGCCACAGGTCTGCCTGATGGGATGACCGTTGGGCCTGAGAGCTTGTTGGTTAAGTATATTATCTCGTATACCTACTTAACTATATGGATGTGACTTTTTACTAGGTAGTTGTTATATAATAATAATAGCAGTTTCAGCAATTAGTAGGCCTGTAGGGCTGTAGCCCATTCTTAGCATCGCAGAACAATAAGAACATTCACAGCATTTTGCGGTCTCGAACCTGCAACTCACTGGCCACTGCTACAATTCTGTTGTGCTTAGTATCTGCCGGGATTCTGCCCAGCCTCCTTGCCGATTCTGACCAGAAACTGACTCACAGTGCTGAGCCTGAGATTGAACCCACGCCTCCCTGCACTAATCTTGGTGCTCATTTTTTATTCGTTTCAGATTTGCGGGAGCCTCTGAAGACCAGTCCAATGTGGCCCCATGACAGGGTTTTGAGTTGTATTTGCCTAAGTGATCTTTCAAGTGGCGCTTCACAGTTATTTTCAATCAGAGCACTACCTAGCCCAACTCTAGCCTAGCCTACTCTTGGTGCAGTGGTGCTCACTTCAACGTTTAACCACTCACCACTGGGCCACCCACCACCCTGCTACAGTGTTAGTACTTTGGTAGATTTAGGTAGTAGGCTATCTAGAAAAAAAATTAGGTAGTCATAAAATGATAAACGTCTATAATTTAGTTTTATTGTATCCAATTTGTGAAATAATGTCAACATTCAACAAGTTTCATATTCTACCCCATAAAACACAATTTTTCATTTGAAATTCATCAATTTGACAGAAAAGCGACGTTTGCCCTACCTAGTCGTATGACTAATGACTTCGAAGTCCAAGCTAGCTATGGAGGAAGATGGACAGAGACGAGACTATAGGTTTGGGGAAAACTGTATTTGGTGGAATCTGGTATACAACTGAGGCATAAAGGCTGGCTGGCCTTACATGACCTACTGACTACTGTTGACACTATAGTAGTTCTACTTGCTTTTAACCCTTTCAGGACGGATGTAGACTGTAGTCTACATTAAATTCTAGTCTATTTTTAGGGCATTTCTAACTACAATCTAGGATATTTTAAAACGCCGTTGCAAAGAGTGCATCAACAGCTACAAAGTGGAACTAAGATTTGCTTCGTTGCGTCAGTAGTATGACAGCTATAATCGAGAGAAGACGCGTCAAAACATGTTCCTGAGTCTGGTGAGTGTTACGCTGTTTTTTCATTATTTGATATCGCGATAGAAAATATTTCCAAATGATTATCTTAGTGCAAATCATACTCATTGTATAGGTAATGATGCATAGTAAGATATTAAATTGTCAAAAATATTATATAACATGAACATTTTGAAATCTAAGGTTTTGAAATGATATGTAGCTTATTTGCTACATCCGGCAGTAATTCACAAGTTGGTAAACAACTGAGTAGAAGAGCGTCGTGACAGCACTAACTCTGTCTCTTATACACATCTAGATGTGTATAAGAGACAGATCTTGTAAGTCTTGTTTTCGAGTCCAGATCTCCAGGAGTCCTATGAGTAGGCAGAATGCTATGAGCAGACCAGGATTCAGCCTTTCAGGAACGTATCATGGATAATCATAGTGGATATTGGATACCACTTACCAGCACTCCAGCACCAGCAGTATTGTTTAGATATTGAATACCAGCAGTATTGTATAGATATTGAATACAAAAACTATAATAACTATATAAGGTAATTTGAAATGAACTGGTTTCTAACAAAATCTCTCCTTCCTTTGCTATTTGCTACCGGCCTGCTCTAGTACTGCTACTGCTACTCTGCTAGGCTGTTGCTGTGAATGCTGTGCTCAGTCTCAGTGTGCTCAGTGCTGCTAATGCTGTCACTAATTTACTATCAGTAATTCAATATCATTGTAAGTGTATCGATGCTATGAAATCAAATCAATGNTACAGAAAAGCAAATTCAAAATCAAGTTGATAAATGTGTGGGTATTCTGAGTATTACGTTAATCACGGAGGAAAATTTTACGTTAATCTCAGACTCAGAGTCAGAGGAATTCTAGTAATCACAGAGCACAATTGTAAGGTGTTTACCGTATGAACGCCGCTGACTCTCTCACTTGCTTTTAAGTCTGACCCCACAGTAATTTGTCCGAGACGACTGAATCGACACTGTTGCGGACCCGCCTGCGAACTGGTCGCTGCTGCTGATTGCTAGAAGGAAATTAATATAGAGTTATAGTGACACAAACTTGTCGGAACAAAATTTATATATCCGAATCTACTAAAACAGTAAAATTTTTCAAAAATAATACGAATAACAAAAATATACAAGTTGATAGAAGAATTTGTTTAAATGCTGAGAAAGCATTTTGAGATGCTTTCAAGCTCGAGATTCAACAATAACAAACTCCGGTTGTCTGCAGACGATGTTTGCTGGAGAGTTGGAGAGTGTGGAGACTAAATTCGAAAGTGTGAACTGTGTGAATCTATTCATAAAATGCTGTCAAAAGTTGGAAGAAGCATCATCTCACGAGCAAATAGTGCTGTAAGTATATATTGGTGTTTTTTAAATATTTCAGATTTTCATTGAATGATTGGAATAGAGTCCTAATAAATACCTAGCCTAGGTATATAGTTCAAAACTTCAAAGTAGGTACTAAGTACAGGACGTCTACAGGCTTGTGCTCATTGCTTAGCTAATTTTTTTTATTTGTATTCTATAACAATAAAACTAGAAGTGAGTACTGTCAGTTCACTCAGTTGTCAAACAGGGTAATTACTTAATAAGTGATGGATGGGTTAAATTGGGATTTACTATTTAGGACAGTGAAATGGCATAAAAATGTTATAGCAGCAAAATTAATTGAAATATTGCAAAGCTAAAAATAGTGACAAACTGGCTATGGTGTAAACTTCAACATTTTTCCCATAATCCCATATGTAGCATAAAGGAAGTTTAAGAAAAAAAACATGCATTTACTAGCTCTAAAAAATCTATGAAAAAATGTTGAAAAGTGATAGGGTAAACACACCATATTCTGACACGGACACCCTAAGGGCCTAAGGACATAGCAAGAAATAAATGGCTATAAATAGATCTCTGTATCATATGCGCAACTCAAGTTCTGATTGGTTTACGTCACTCTCAAACATAGTGACAAACTAGAGATTTTTTAGAATCAGTTCATTTTTAATTTCCTTATTTACCCAAGATTTAAACTAATTTCTTATGTAAGATAATGCTGGTATCCCACTGTGCAGAGAGTGGATGAATATTGCAATTTCTTTGGCGACGCTTCAGTAGCCAAATTTTTGCCTTCAGAAGATCTTGCCGACACATTTAGATTGAAATTCTTGCATTTNCCTGAGCAGGCGGTGGAAGAGGAGGATGTTGAGTGATGCACTCACCCTGAGCAGGCGGTGGAAGAGAATGATGCGGTGAAACTGATACTCGACGTCCTTCTCCCTGATCACCAGAGGCAGCTTCCTGGCCTCAGTGTCTTCGCTGCTGCTTTTTCTGAGGATTCAATATCTTGATTATGATGATGATATCAACTTCATTTTCTAAAATTCATTAAATAGCTTTACGAATAAAAATAATTTAGATTATATTTGCAGACTTATAGGTTATAATACATTAAAAAATACCATATGATGAGTGGTTAAAGATACATGCTAACTTTTGATTTGCTTGTTTCTAATGAGTAACATATCCGTATTTAGTCGATTTAAAAAATAGGTTAGTTTGGTAACACTCGTACTTTGAACATTATTTCCAGTACATATTTCAGCTATAGTTGGCCTATTACTCCAGGCTCATAAGACCTTAGAATTAATTCCGGGTTTTCATTTTCGTCTGGTGAAATTTTGCGTCTGCAATACCAAGACTGCCGAATAACAATGTGCTAAAATGAATAAAAGTGACTTGGCCAAAACAATTACTTATCAGAAATTAGTAACTTCTTCTCGAATATTTCAGTTCATGCGAGTATTCAAATACACAGCTGAGAGAATATCATCAATAACATTGGCAAAACTACGAGATCAGTTCATAGAAAAGATTAAGATTCCAAATTACAAGAAAAAAGATAAAGTGTAAACACTATGAGATAATATACAAATTAATGAATATTATTCTACCTATACTATGCACATATATTTGATAAAGCTTGTATTAAAAATCAATAACAATTTCCTACACGACATAGTAAATGATGTTGAAACAATTCATGATTGATAGTTAATAACTAATGATCAAATATTAGAACTAAATATAAATAGTTAAATAATATTAAGTTTTACGTACCTCTAAGTGATGAGGGTGATGTGACTAATGATAATACCTTTGAGTGACGTCACTAAATAACTAGTGACAAAATAAGAAAAACTAAACAGAAATAGTGCAATAAAACTACCTTAGAATTGAAGGAAAAAAGTGAAATAGATTTAGAGTGTACATATTTCTTAGTGATGAAAGTAACGTCACTAAATTACTAGTGACAAAATAGCAGAAGTGAAATACAACCAAATTGTATGTACGTATACCTCTGCGTTATGAGGGGATAGTAAGCCGTGGAGGGGACGTGAGCAAGACGAGCCTCGAGGCTGGCGAGACTGAGCGCGAGGTTGGAGTGCGAGGGCGGCTGCTGCTGCACACGGTGGAACTCTCCGCCCAGAAGCTCCCCATCCACCGTGGCGATCCTGTGATGATAAAAATATATTATATTCTTGTCCAACCAAATTTCACTATTCAATGCTTCTCTTAACTTGAAAATGAATGTTGCTACATTCGAAACATTGTTAATATATTATTATTTGCTAATCTGCCTTTTGATCTGCTAACGTCATCTAAGAATTTTTCAACTCCTTGAAAATTCAAATGCACTCTCTGGTCATAAATTGTACGCATAGAATATTTGTCAACTTCTGCTATAACAATTCTTTAGTATTAGTTCTAATCTATTCAACTTTGGACAGGGAAGTATTATGTTTGATGTGCAAGACGTTTATGTTTCAATCGCCGCTTGTGAAAAGTAGATGCGAGTCAATACAAGACTCGTCTAAATTCAAAATGAGACAGAATATTGATATTGATCTAAGACCATATCCATATTTTAATCCATGGCCATATCCATATATTGATCCATGGCCATATCGATATATCGATCCATGGCCAAGTAATTGGGATCTATGGCCATATAATTGTTATCCATGGCCATATAATAGTTATCCATGGCCATATAATTGTTATCCATGGCCATATTATTGCGACTCGTATCAATACAATTGCTGGCACAGAGCACCTGGGCAGCGTGAGGATAGGCGGGCGGGAGATGATGAAGCCGTGCCGCACGAGCTCCTGCTCCGCCTTTATATGTTCTTTTTGGCTTATTAATGATTGGTAAATTTGCAATTCAAAATTTCAATGGTCGTTATACATGAACCACAGTCGGTAAGTGATGCAGTAATTTGCCAAAAATATAACACTGTATAACTGGTTACCACATTTTAATTATTTGATAAACTGTTGCTAATTAGATAACCAAATGCAACATGTTTCAACTCCAAAGTTGCTCATTTCTTAGCTAAAATGTGGTCCTTGACAGGAGCAATTGATAGGTTGCAAATCTTTTTATAACATTTATTTTATTCAATGAGTTTGAGATTCTTTTTCTCTTGAATTTGTTCCGTATATTTCTTGCTTTACTTCGTGTTCATTAAAAGTTTTTCTGTACAGGTGTTATGGCTGAGTTGACTGGCAGGTCTCAAGGATGCTCCCGGGGCAAGGGAGGCTCTATGCACATGTATGCTAAAAACTTCTATGGAGGCAATGGCATCGTCGGAGCTCAGGTGATGCTACGACAAGAGTGTTGCTTGTTATTTTCATTATCTAATCACTAGATAACCAACAATTTAATACCTAAATTACTGCTAATTGGATTTAGGGGTTATTTTCAATCTGACAGAATCTTATACATTATTCAGTAAAGCCTGTCTAGTCTACTCCATCACTTCATTTGCCTTTAGTATAGCTTCAATACTTTACGTAATATTACAGCAACTTAAGTTCCTGCTCTACTTTTTGTGGTCGTTGTTTCAAATATATTGGGTAAAGCCTTTTTTTTAATTGAATGAAGTCTAATAAGCCACCGGGAATAAGTACCTTGTAGTAATAAATTTTGTCACCATACCAGGTCCCAGTTGGGGCTGGCGTTGCTCTGGCAAACCAATACCTCGGTAATGGAGGAATATGCGTTGCACTGTACGGCGATGGGGCGGCCAACCAGGGGCAGATCTTCGAGGCTTACAACATCTCCAAACTGTGGAACTTGCCGGCGGTGTTTGTGTGCGAGAACAACGGATATGGCATGGGCACCAGCGTCGACAGGGCTTCTGCCAGCGTCAATTATTACACTCGTGGTGACTACATACCCGGCATTTGGGTGAGTTCAGAGTTACAGGAACTCTGGTTAGAATAGCTGACGTTTATGAAATGTGAGGAAATAAAAACCTATTACGGTACTACCGTTAAACGTACAATAAGTTACTATTAGTAGTACATGTTAGGTAATAGTAACTTATGGTCTCATGGTCACACGCAAAGTTGTGTCAATGTTCACTGTAACATTTTATTTCTATCCTATGCTATAATTATTTATTATTATACCTATGATGTTTTCAGGTTGACGGGATGGACGTGCTGAGCGTGCGGGAGGCGCTGCGCTACTGTCAGGACTACTGCACCAAGAACGGCCCGCTGGTGCTTGAGATCGCCACCTACCGCTACTCCGGCCACTCAATGTNTCAGAGTACTGTTAGTAATGGATGAGTACACTCTGCATGCTCCAAATGTTTTAAAATGAAGTTTTATTCCAAGTGTCCCGAGTAGCCCCGTTTGACGGGGCTACTCGGGACACTCTTTTTTTGCTTCTGACGCCTTACGAATAGCATATGGAATTTTTTGGAGAATCCATGTGATAGCCCTTGCAAAGACCTTCGAAATGAGCCTAAACTTTTTTATGAAATGTTTCATGGTAAGAAGTTATGAATGAAAAACGTTCAAAATTGTCCCGAGTAGCCCCGGTTGACGGTACCCCAGTTGACAGTTATCAAAATGTACCTACTTCTGTTAAGGTCTGTTGTAAAAAGTATTTGTTATGTAGAAAAATTTTGCTTTAAAATAAAGTGCAAACAGATGTTGGCTTTGAAACTTCATTTACAGAATTTTTATACATCAATCCAAAACAAAATGTCAGCCATTTCTGCATGACTGAGAAGGGTGGCATTCTATATGCCAGGCATGGAATATATCTACTTGACGAGCTGCGACTGAATTTTTTTGAGCTGTGGTTTTATGGATTTGCCAGTGAATATATTTCTTTAAACCATGATTTCCATTTCTTTGAGCCGTGAATTCCATATCTCAGCTCTAAAAGCCATTTATGAGCCGCAAACTTATTTACAAAGTCACCTGCACATGTTACTCCAAATATCTAATTTTACCCTAAAACAGTCCAATCGTACAGCAACATTACCATTTGTCCTCACTTAAGTGGCACCTGAACACATGATAATGCAGTCTGACCACTTTGACATGACTGCAACTACACAATCTTCAAGGAAACGTTTTGGGTTGACTTGTTATTACATTTTGCCGGATATTTTGGCAGAAGTGTTGAAGTAATGCGGACTGTGGAAGTTGAAAATTTTATGAAATGATATGTTTGCCAAGTGCAAACCAGGATTTTTTCAATCAAACAAAAATACATGTATTTAGCTATTTCAGGTAACTTGATTAAATTGAATTAAATTAAATTGTTATATTTCTAGTTTTTCATTTGCATAAACTGAATTTTAATTATAAAGAAAAATTTTGTGTATTGACCACATCTAAGGGATTCTTCAAGTTTGATTTAAACCTTCAACAGGCAAAATTTTTAAAAATACACATGAATAAATATTTTGTATAAAATTTCTTACTTTCTTGAAATGGTTTCTGAAATTTCAATTTCTGGATATTTCAATGCTTGCCTGCTAAAGGGTTAATGACCTATGAAATTTTGGAGCACAATTGCTAAATTGGACTGCACGCCCTGGTCAATTAGACAAGAGCGCCTCAGTAACAGAATCACAGTCCCCAGTTACATTTTCACAAGCTTTACTCCAAATTGCATTCTCACTCCCCGTACTGCTTGGAACACTCTGGTGTTGACAGTGTAGCTATGTGACTGTCCACATTCTGGAATCTAGAATTCCACCATGCTGGATGGTGTAGTTGGAGACGCCCCTAAAAATGCATTCACGGTAGAACCTTGGTTAGGAAAAACTCCAGTTAACGAAAAAAATCTATAAACAACAAAGAATTTTGATTACTTTTGCCTTGCTCAGCAAAAAAAAAATTTGCTTGATGAAAAATTAATGCATCATTGGCCATCACAAAATTATGCATGGAATGTTATGGATAGAATTGTGCACTGGGCAACATTTAAAGCAATTAACCTAAATTGTGATTTATTTCAGCAAAAAATAGGATTTTGTTAAAGTGAATTATTAATTGACTTGACCCAATTAAAATGGTGCAAAATTACAAGTCCAGTCCCGTGAGCATATGGAGGAAATGTTATACATATGGCTGCCGATATGAAACTTGCAGTGGACAAGGTTGCTTTCAATAGCATGGTTTTTTGGGGGAAGTTTTAAAAGTGTCAAGTACATATAGAATGGAAAAAATAATTTTTGTTGATGAAAAATAGATATTGTAAAATCATCAACAAAGGAAAAGGAACAATTAGGGATGCTTTTTTTCCTCTGGCACCTTACGATTGGCATATGGAATATTTTTGGAGATGCCATACAATAGCCCTCATAAAGATCTTTAAAATGAACCTAAACTTGATCATGAAATGTTTCATAGTTGAAAATCATCAGCAAAAAACCATATTACCCCATTTGACTATATCTCTGCACCTCTATTGTGAATTATCCTTTATAAATTTTTTTACAAAGCTGCAAAGTTCCAAAATTTATAAATTTATATATTATATCACGAAAGCTGCAAGATTTAGATAGAAATCTGTATTTCATAATCTTGCAGTACAGCAATCCCTTGATTAACGTGGTTAATAAATCCTCAAGTTTTACTGTGTTAAGCAAAACCGCGCTAATCAAACTTAAGAATATATGGGAATAATTATAATGAATCCTCAAAAATAGCAAAGTTACATAATATGATAGGCAAAATCTGTCAGTTACATTTTCAAGCGACACCTGGGTGCAACTTTTATGTAGGTAAAATTTTTTAATACGGTGAATATTTTTTTACTACAGACCTTAACAGAAGTATTTTTTCAAAATATTGTTTTTCACAATTTTTTCAGGAATTTTTCAAAGCTATTGAATGTAGTATTTTTGAACTTCCTTTATACTACATAGATAGGAAAAATGTTAAAGTTTATGCCACTATACTTAGTTTTGCAATATTCCAATTAGTTTTGCTATAAAAACAGTTTTGCACCGTGTCGGAGGACTGTCCCGAGTTACCCCGCCTGCCTGACTAGCCCCAGTTGACGGTAGCAAAGGCTCCAGTCAACTTAAAAATCAATTAACAACAAAAAATTTTGATATCATTTACCTCACTCAGCCAAATCAATAGTATCACTTAGCAAAAATTAATGAATCATTGGTCATCACAAAATTGTGCATGGAAAGTCATAGATAGATTTGTGCACTGGGCAACATAAAATGAAATGTCATTAACCAAAACTATGAGTTATTTTCCAAAAAATATGATGGTTGTCACTAGAATAATCCTTTCTGTTTCAGGTACATTTTTTGATCATTGATTGTTATAGCAAATTCACTTGACCAAATTAAAATGGTGAGAAATTACAAGCCTTCCCGTAAGCTTACCGATACAGAAAAGTGCTATACGGCTTATGATATGAAGCTTGCTGTGGACAAGGTCGCTGTAAATGCTCAATGGCATGTTCATGGATACAGTAATATCACATTAAAAATACAGTACCATAAAATTGGTTAACTTAGACTACTTTTTTTTAAATGATGCCATTTTTTACTAGCTAAATTGAACTTAAATTGAAACGTGCAAAATACAGGTCTATACCCTAGGTTCACTCACCATAAATTGCTGGCTCCTGCCTCTCATAGTTTTTATGTAATTTCAAGAAAAGTGATGATCTTTGTTACCCCAGCTCTTGGGGTACCGTCAACCGGGGCTACTCGGGACACTTTTGAATGTTTTTCATTCATAACTTCTTACCATGAAACATTTCATAAACAAATTTAGGCTCATTTTATAGCTCTTTGCAAGGGCTATTGAATGGCATCTTCAAAAAAATTCCATACGCTATTCGTAAGGTGCCAGAAGCAAAAAAAGAGTGTCCTGAGTAGCCCCGTTGAATGGGGCTACTCGGGACACTTGGAATAAAACTTAATTTCAAAACATTTGAAGCATGCAGAGCGTACTCATCCATTGCTAACAATACTCTGAAGTCCTCCTCTTTCATTGTAGATGATGTAGAGGTAGAATAAATGACATTTTCTGTGATTTTTACTTGTTTTTCCTCTATTGATATATTACCATATACATTAATTACCGTATTATTAATGTGACATTATCGTATTATTGATGTGATATTACCGTATCCATGAACATGCCATTGAGTATTTACAACAACCTTGTCCACTGCAAGCTTCATATCAGCAGCCTTATAGCATTTTTTATGTATCTGCAAGCTTACAGGACGGCTTGTAATTTCACACAATTTTAATTACGTTAAGTGAATTTACTATAAAAAAAGATCGTGAAAAACATACCTGAAATGGAAAGGAATGTTTTAGTGACAACCATCATATGTTTTGAAGAAATAAATCATAGTTTAGGTCAATTACCTTTCATTCTATGATGCCTGGTGCACAATTCTATATATGACATTCCATGCACAATTTTGTGATGTCATATGCTTCACCAACATTTTGTTGTTCTGGCTTGAATGGTAGATATATTCCATGCCAGGCCAAGCAGGCCTCAAGCGCAGTGGCAAAGCAGAGACTTGTTTGAGCTCTCCCTCAAGTTCACTTTGAGTCATATTAGTAGACCAGCAAAGTATCATGGATTTCAGAATTATCATAGGTACCGTACATAAGATATTGGTTAAAAGCTTGAGTAGATAAGGAAATTGAAAATGAAATGATTCTGATAGAATCTCTGGTTTACCACAATGTCAAGTTCTTTGTTGAACTAGTTGCCTATCCTCTTACCTTTTTTATACTCACTAAATTCAATTTCAAATATCAGTGCATGATTGAGTCATGAGATTCCTAATGTATTGAAAATTGGCCACTTTGGAACCGTGAGATTTTATTCATCAGTAGGAAAATTCCAGTATGTTTTCTAATATGAATATTCTAATGTATTGAAAATTTGTCACAATAGAGCTGCAAGATTTCAGAAACTAGTATGAAAATTTTAAGCTAGCACCTTGCAGCATTGCAGCCTATGAATGGACAAAGCAGTATTCAATAATAATTATTAATTCTTCTTGAATAAGTGCAAATAAGAAAGTTGAAAAATAATTTACATCTTCAAGACCACTTGTAATAAATGAATTGAATTAAAATTTTTATTCTGACTAATATAAGACACATTTATTTTTTGTAGCTCATATTTCTTTATTGCTTCTAGAACAGAATACTTTTCTTGAGCAGAAAGCCCTGGTTTGTAATGTGGCATATCAGGCAGAATTGTCTTTTAATCACCTGTCATATGACTCATTTACTATGTGAGTTTAAAAAATTGCATGCAAAAAGGCACAAGTTTTAAAAATATGTACTGGAGAAATTAGGAAAGGGCCTAGGCAAATTGATAAAATTGTCCACAATCATGGGCAATTCTTTTTCATTCAAGGGTGGGTTCTGCCAATTTTAGAGTTTTGACTGGTTTTCTGGCTTATAACGATCTGGTTCACTGGCTCAAGAGCTCTGGTTCATTGGCACAAAGGGCTCTGGTTGTCTGGCTCTAAGTGCTGTAGTTTACAGGCTCCTGGTTCTTTTACCAGTTCACTCACCTGAGGTAACATGATCTTGGCCAATTGATGAGCAGTCTTGTAGTGAATATGGCATGGATTACTATTTTAATGCTCAAATTTTGCCTGTACTTTTATAATTGTACAATTATTTTGTAATGAAGAAGTAGGTAGATAGAGCAGATAAGGCAGCCTCTTCATCTTGTCCTTTCATTCTCTTAGAAAAAATTTGTTATATCTAGGTTACTCATAGGTACCTATGTTTTTTGGCTCATTACTAATTAAATCACTTTAAATATGAAGATTTTATTAGAATAGAATAGAAGTGTCGGCGTTGAAGACATAGGCCCATGGCCTGTTGCCGATTCTTGAACTTTTCGTGACTTGATTCACAAGGGATCCGGCCTTTGGAACCCGATCTTTCCATAACTGACGATTGATTGAGATAGCTGCTGGACTTATTGCCTGCTCTGTAATTTGCTAGGCATTTTAAGACTGAACATATGCTCCTGCATAGCTTCGTCTAGTCTGTTTTTTAAGATGTTCATACTTATTGGAATTAATATGTTGACATAAGTAGGGGTTAAGGATTACCTAGATTCAAATTAGAATTTTAAAATTTCTTATGAGGTTTATTCTCATGTTTTGGGTGCAGCGCCAAGTTAGCGGAGCACTCTCAACTTCCTCCCAACATTCACCTGACAGAACAACTTCAACCAGTGTTGCTTCCTTGGCCTGGTCTGACTACTGGGACCTCACTGTGGTACACCAGCCGTGTGAAATATATATAGGCACCTGCCTTGCTTCTGTGGCAATCTCAGAAATCACAGTGATACCTCTTGATTTATATGTAATTGGTATTAAATATCTCAAATTCTCAATTGAATTTACTTGGCATTTTGTTTTCTCTAAGAAAATAAGTTGAATTGTGATGAAAGCAAGCTAATTGTTTTAGTATGATTGGTTGGGACATTTCCATTAGTAAAGTAAAAGTTTAAAAAATTTATTCCGTGAATGATACCAAAACAAGGGCTATAATATAAGGGTTAGGAAAATGGTGTTGGCTGCCATGTGTGTTTGTGTTTGAACCAGAAACTCTCATTTGGACTAAGAGGACAATGTTTTTTTACAAAATGTGATTGCATCATTGCACTGGGAAGTGTTGACGTCAAGTGGTGTATAGTCAAAAGGTGTCACTGTATCATTAAATGTATCCCTTATTTATATATGTAATTTTGTATTAAATTATTTATTACCAATGCAAGCTTGTGTACAAAGTAGCCACCACTTTCTAATTTATTTGTTATGTTATCTGGTTGGAAAGTTGACAACCATGAGGAGGATAAAGTTTGAAATTTCAGTTATTAAGCTATCACAAATTTATACAGGAGTGCCACACATATATGTAAAACTCCTAAAATTTTGAGTTAAATTGACTGTCAAGAACTTTTTTGGTCCCTCAGTCATAATTATGGAAATATGAATTTAAATTGTTGTATTATATTTTACAAACTACAAGACAACCAAATATCTCTTATTGTTCCACTGTACATGAATAAATGGAAGGCAAGTTATTCTGAGACAAAATCAAATATTTTGCCAAGACTGAATAATAAACTTTCTTATCAAACTGCACACAAGTGTTACTGTTATAGCATTGTAATAATCTAGCAATGTAGAAGAGTAATTGGTGTTGCACCCAAAAGCAATTTTTTTTTCTCCTATATACAGGGTGTTTCAGAATTAAGTAACCCTTTTAATTTGTTATCCTTAAATTTTGAGTTAAATTGACTGTCAAGAACTGTTTTGGTCCCTCAGTCATAATTATGGAAATATGAATTTAAATTGTTGTATTATATTTTAAAAACTACAAGACAACCAAATATCTATTATTGTTTCACTGTACATGAATAAATTGGATGCAAGTTATTCTGAGACAAACTTAAATATTTTGCCAAGACTGAATGATAAACTTTCTTATTCAAACTGCACACAAGTGTTATAGCATTACAATAATCTAGCAATGAAGAAGAGTAGTAATTGGTGTTGGCACCCAATAGCAATTTTTATTTTTTCTACTATATAGTAGAAGAAAGTTTGAAAACTGCACTTACTTCAATTACTGCAAACGGCACTTACTTCAATTTTTTAATGAGTATTTTCAAGCTATTTTAATTCTATGGTATGTATTGCATGTATTATTTTCAATAGCATTTCTTTATTTAGCAGATAGCTACGGTATGCCAATAATGCTGTGAATCAGTCCATTTCATTTTATTTAATGTCTTCATGCATACAGTCATTTTATTTTGTAAGTAAGGTTTCACTTATTTAGTCCTGTTGTGTTGGAAGATTTTGTGTATGGTAACTTAGTATGTTCAATAGAAACTACTTGAAAAACATTGAATAAGATTGTGCTATTAAATTTGATCATTTGTCAGTATTCATGTAATGAATGTTTTTATATATATATTTTTTTTTTTTATTGACATAAAATTTTTATTTTCAGAGATTTCTGAGTCCTCTTTGGCAAGATAGCACTTCAGCTACTGAGAATCTTGCAAACAAGAATGGCTCATCTCAACCTCAAAAGCAGCAGCAACGTAACAGCAGCACGGCATCTGAGGCCACGTTTGACACTCGGCCATACAAACTGCACAAGCTGGAGGAAGCTCCCAGCAGCACTGCTACATGTTCAAGAGATGAAGCACTTCTCTATTATCGCCAAATGCAAATCATCCGAAGGATAGAATCTGCTGCTGGAAACCTCTACAAAGAGAAGGTTAGACATAATTTTTCCACCTGTGGATCTCTCTTCTGTTGTTTAGCAGTTTTAGATTTACTCAGTATTCTCTGGAAATTTTCTGATACTGGAATCACTGCATTTTTTGTCATAAATTAATGCCTTTTTCTTGGAAGTCAATGAAACTCCACTGTTCTAATGGACCATATTGTAGTAGTTTTTCAAAATTAGTTAGAATTACCATTTTGGACATTATGCTAAACTAATTTGATGTATAGGTTCTAATTATTGAAGTGAGATTACTTTTATGTGAATTATTCATTATTGTGTTCTCTTATTCGAAAATGTTATGCATCAGCAAATTTGATCTGATTCGACTGATGTAATGTGACTTTTATGTAAAAATACTGATTTGGTAATGTATTTGTGAAGGCAGTGCGAGGTTTCTGCCATCTTTACAGCGGACAGGAGGCCATCTGCGTTGGCATGGTTGGTGTGCTGCGTCCCCAAGACTCCATCATCACCGCTTACAGAGATCATGGCTGGGCCTACGTCATGGGTTGTTCTGTTACCAGTAAGTTATTTCATTGAAGAGATGGTTTCTTGAAAGCAACCTGGAGTTTTCTTCACATTTTGTACTCAAATCTTTACTCATCTCTCACATTACTTCTTGAATCACTGTCGTCTTGAAGGGTGGCACCAAAATATATATATATGTGCTACCTGTTAATTTTGTAGCGTGAGCCTAATCTAAAGAGCAGCTGTGTGGCCTGTATGTTTCCAGCTCTTTGATAAATGGGATAAATTATGACTGAGGTAAACAATGGTGATCAAAATTCAATGAGTAATCAAGATGAACATAAGGGTAATAGATGCAAGTTATCAGGTTAGTAATTGAAATACCCCTGGGCTGATGAATCATGGAATGAACCTAACAAAAAATTTTGCTAGTTATCCAAAGTGGATATTGAGGTAACAGATTATACGAGGTTAACAGGTTAATCATCTAAGCTAGGCCATAATATCAGTTATGAAACTAAACTTGACAAAGAATAATTAAAGGAAGGGTATCACATGTGAGGTGATCTTATTTTAAAGCCTCCTAAACTTTACTTGGCTTTACACACTAAGTTTGTTGCCATACCAGTGGCAAGCAGTGACTCAACTGAAGGGTGAAGTCAAGAGTTCCTATACTAAGCAAGATTGGATCAGATTTGTCCAAAGTTGGCAAGATTGGCCCCAAACTGGCCTTAACTCAGCTCATAATTCTCCAGTATATGTTCACGGTTGCACATAACTTGCCAGGAATTAGCACCAGACTGCTCTGCAACAATGCAAGGATAGAAAAACTTATGAGCTATAACTGCTTCAAGGTAAACTGCTGCCTCACTTAAAGAAATTGTGAATTTTTAGGATTATATACATACAGTGGGGGGAAATAAATATTTGTACACTTGAAAAATCGTATTTGAATGTATGTAAGTACACAAACTTAACAGGAAAAGTGATTTAAATTATGTATAGAGACGCATAGTATTCAAAAATACTATCAAAAGAAATTAAATCTCAATGCAACAAAAAACAATGCAACATGTTCACTTTTCGGGTGAAATTGCTTTTACTGCGGCGTAGAACTTGACGCCTGACGCCCGCGTCTGTCCTGCTAAAACTGCGGCAGTAGATTTGTCGCGACAGTTTAGCTTGCAATGGTATTCAATGTAATCTTTCACACTGGGCGGTTTTTGACGCCCCATCCTAGCAGACAGTGGTGCCGTATTTTAGGTTCATAATAAACAGCACTGCATGACATAGCATAGATTATAGCATAATATTATTACATAAATATCGGTACATAAATAATGTTACATAAACATAAAGATATACATTGATAAATATATATATCCTTGAAGTGATGGAGATATATTTCATATAAGATATATTTTCCATAAAATATATAGGTATTTCCATAGAGATGTATTTACATTATTCTCACGTAGAGATAGATTTCCATTTAGAAATATTGTTACATAAACATAGAGATGGACTGATGAAGCATAAAGCACTGCAAGACTGATAGATCCCAGCAGTAAAAAGCGCCTCGTGTGAAAGATTGCGATGTAAATACTGCCGCGGCATTTTTGATGCGCGCAGTATCTACTGCCCTGTGTGAAAGGGGCTTTATTAGGGGTTATTTTCAATCTGACAGAATCTTATACATTATTCAGTAAAGCCTGTCTAGTCTACTCCATCACTTCATTTGCCTTTAGTATAGCTTCAATACTTTACGTAATATTACAGCAACTTAAGTTCCTGCTCTACTTTTTGTGGTCGTTGTTTCAAATATATTGGGTAAAGCCTTTTTTTTTAATTGAATGAAGTCTAATGAGCCACCGGGAATAAGTACCTTGTAGTAATAAATTTTGTCACCATACCAGGTCCCAGTTGGGGCTGGCGTTGCTCTGGCAAACCAATACCTCGGTAATGGAGGAATATGCGTTGCACTGTACGGCGATGGGGCGGCCAACCAGGGGCAGATCTTCGAGGCTTACAACATCTCCAAACTGTGGAACTTGCCGGCGGTGTTTGTGTGCGAGAACAACGGATATGGCATGGGCACCAGCGTCGACAGGGCTTCTGCCAGCGTCAATTATTACACTCGTGGTGACTACATACCCGGCATTTGGGTGAGTTCAGAGTTACAGGAACTCTGGTTAGAATAGCTGACGTTTATTAAATGTGAGGAAATAAAAACCTATTACGGTACTACCGTTAAACGTACAATAAGTTACTATTAGTAGTACATGTTAGGTAATAGTAACTTATGGTCTCATGGTCACACGCAAAGTTGTGTCAATGTTCACTGTAACATTTTATTTCTATCCTATGCTATAATTATTTATTATTATACCTATGATGTTTTCAGGTTGACGGGATGGACGTGCTGAGCGTGCGGGAGGCGCTGCGCTACTGTCAGGACTACTGCACCAAGAACGGCCCGCTGGTGCTTGAGATCGCCACCTACCGCTACTCCGGCCACTCAATGTCTGATCCTGGCACCTCGTACAGGTATTCTAACATCATCCCTACGAGTTCAGATAATATGTTAGCGATTTTATGTATTGTTTGTTTCACAAGTATGATCCTGGCAGATCTTAAATGTATTCTAACATCATCCCTACAAGTTTAGATAACATGTTAGGAATTCTATGTATTATTTGTTTCACCAGTACGATCCTGGCACGTCTTTAAGGCATTTCAATATCACTGAACTACATCTTGATTGAGAATATTAAATGCGTTTTGTTTACACAAGGATGATCTTCCTGGTTGAAGCAAATAATTTTATATACTTTTTTAATGAGTATGATCCTGACACGTCTTACTGGTTGATGTATGAAAATGGTTGAGGTATAAATAACTTTTTCAAGGGATTATGTTCACGAGTAAGTATTTTATTGTAGAGTCATGTTCATAAACGTGAATATATAGATAAAAACTAATTTTTGAGCTTACATTTCAATAATTTTGGCATTCAAAATCTTCTCTTATGTTTATTATAAGATGGTGCTTGCATGATGTATCTGCTGGAATTCATTTATATTTTGTTTATATTGTTGATTTTTGTTATTATATTTTTATTAATAGTGTAAAGTAATATTTATGTGTGTAATGAACCCTGCAGAACTCGAGAGGAGATCCAAGAGGTGCGTCAGACGCGCGATCCCATCATGTTGTGGCGGGAGAAGATCGTTCAGGCGTCGCTCGCCACAGCAGAGGAGCTCAAGGTAGAGTAATCTTACTGGGCTGGCGGAAATATACCTTAATAATACCCATAATAAAACCTGGCGACATTATACCCTAAGCCCTGGGGCATGATGCCATCAAACCTGCGGTCATGATACCATCAAACGTGGAACATAATGCCATCAAACCTGGGATATCATACTATCAAACCTGCGGGCTGATGTCATCAAACCTGGGATATCATAGTCATACTATCAAACCTGCGGGTATGATATCATCAAACCTGGAACATAATGCCATCAAACCTGGGATATCATACTATCAAACCTGAGGGCATGATGTCATCAAACCTGGGATATCATAGTCATACCATCAAACCTGCGGGTATGATATCATCAAACCTGGAACATAATGCCATCAAACCTGGGATATCATACTATCAAACCTGCGGGCATGATATTAAACCTGGAATATAATACTACCAAATTGGAACATATTGACATCAACACAAGAGCATGATGCTTCACAGCCGCTGCCTGATCAGGTCTTCAGTTCATGTCTTGCGTCAATAACTAAAGAGTCTAAAAGTAGAATGGCTTCTTGTTTTTTTTTACATTGCACAACTGAAGCTCCATATCTTCTTGCCGGATTCAATTGATTTTATATTGACTATTGCATTATGTAAAAATATGGTTAATGAATTTTTTTCCTGCCTATCGCAGGATTTTTTGATGCTTCCTATTATTAGAAATTTGATGGTGGTGACACTTGAATGTTTTATTTTTCTTACAAATCTTTACCCGCTAATTTTAATTTCAACGAATGTTAGTTAAAATGTCGGATTAATGAATCATCAATGGAGATAATTCAGTTATTGAAATTAGTTCAAGTTACTTACCAAAATTTCAAATCGTAACACAGAAAATCGATGGGGAGGTGCGCAAGGAGGTGGACGAAGCAGTGAAGGTGAGCAAGAGCGACAAGGAGGTCCCCCTGCAGGAGCTTGCTGCTGACGTCTACTATGAGCCTCTGGAGACTGAGATACGCGGCACCACGCCCTTCAGACCCTACAAACACCAGCGCCTCGCGCAGCCCTTCAATGCCCACTAGGACTTTCATGTCCTCTGGAGACTGAGATACGTGGCACCACGCCCTTCAGACCCCACAAACACCAGCGCCTCGCGCGGCATTTCAACGTCCGTAGTAGGCCTTTTCAAATCCCCTGCCATCAGTAGCCAGCACTTATGACATAGCACTTGTTTCTTCGTTCCCCTGACAAAAAAATGATCCAGCATTTCAATACGTGGAGACAAATTTTCGTTGAATATTATGCCGATCTTCAGGTCAAATATTTTTGCTAAGTCTTTTTTGATTAATTATTAGCTGTAGTCGGCAAGCATTTCATAGGTTGAGTACTGGCACAAAGCGAATGATGCGTTTTAAATCTCTTACTCTATTTGTTTATTGTAGTCTTTCATCTTATACTCCATTGCCGCATTAAATGGTGTATTTATGACCAAATTGCCCTGTATACCCTGTTGATCTTTATCATAAAAATATTCTGCTGAAATACATGTACGTTACATTGAATTATCTGTTTGAGATCAGCCCTGCCAGACTTTCGCAAAACGTTTTGTCTGCACAAGTAGTATATATACAGGCTATTCCTGGTGCAGTTACGGAGTGCAGCTTTTCTAGTGATGCCATAATGTAAATATGAAAGGAGTTGCGTGTTCTCTATACAAATATTGTTGAAAGTAGGAGCAGTTTCCCAGTTTTTATTTTATGTTTTTCATGTGACCTGATGTCATTTGGACTGAAGCTTTGCAAGTTGTTTGTATACTATGCAAACAAAAGATGTTAAAGTTTTTGTTTTGCTGTGAGTTGCGCAATGTTTGTTTGTTGCAATATTATTTTTTGTCGCGTATGCTTTTCTCCTGGACTAAATACTTGATTGTTTTCATTGTTCCGGAGCGTAGGTGAATTAGTTTGTTTTACAATCTTGATTTGAGATGCCAACTCATCTGTAAACTATAAACTCTCGTCTCTCGACGATCTGATTTAATTTATTTCTCTGATGGATATTTTCATTATGGTTTAAAGTTTATTCTATTTCTCAGCAATTTTCGTCGTTGAGATTGGTTCTTCTATTGCCTCACAATTTTCAGAACATTGCCGTAATTTTTTCCTGGAGGGTTGCTTACATATTTGATACTGAACTGCTCCTTTTCTATTCTTTTGATTGTGATGTTCTGGAATCTCGTTATAATTTCTTTGTTCTTTACTGCACAGAATCTAATAAAAATGAAAAATTTATAAGTGTACTTTTTCTCATACTCAAATTATATCCTGATAGGGTCTTCCTACAATCTTACCTTCTTAAAGCCATGACGTAGTTGAAGTCGTTCTCAGGAAGAGGATTATCGTGACAGAGAACAAATAACTTGAGTTATCTATCGAGACCGGAGAAGATTATCTTGACCGGTAACTTGAGTTACCAGGGGCAGGTCTTTCTACGCACATAATCGTAAACAAGAGTTTACGGCACTTCAGCCGCTCAGCGATTCGCTTATATTAGAAAGGCTTTCGTCTATTAACTTAATTTTGCACAGAAGTTGAATTTTATACTTTCTAGGCCCTTTATGAGCAGAAATTAGACTGATTTATATTCTATTACACCCCTTCTTACGAATGCGCGTTTTTGTGCTACCGATAGGTATTCAAGATTTTTACCAATGCTGTAAAAACAGATTTCGAGAACAAAGTGTTGATTCAAAAATAACTGCTCAAACTCCTAAGTCCAACTTCAACGTAAAAGCTCATGATTAGATATATAATAGTATGCATTCTTTTGAAATTTTAATCCTCGTGTGACTCACGTGCAGGCACATAAAGAATTGCTGCCTTAAATTCCAAAATTATGTTTGAAATGAATGCATACAATCGAAGTCTACTACCCATTACCCAAATAAGATTTGTAAATGGATATAAAATAATTTAGGTACAACAATTTTTTACCGTTTTACACGAAATCATTCGACATCAGTTAATCGTGGTAGAAATATGTTATATATTGTTAATTATAATCGAGACCAATATGTGAATATTATTACGTTGAATTGCCTATGTTTAGGGTAAAATACAATTGACTTTGAGACTGAGGGTGTCAAGCGTAAACCTGACCGTCATTGCAATAGCGTCCCGAGTTCTTGCCGCATCTTGAGTTCTTGACGTCAGTCGGAACGCTGCACTAGCCGGCAAGTGTAGGACTTCGTATCGGTTCTCTGCTTAGAAATTTCTGCCCAATTTGACAAATAAAGGTAACTGAATTATATTCTTCACTTAAAAGTTATTTAGGTTTATTTGCGCTGTGTTATGTTGTACATTGATAATGTACATAATGTTGATCTTCCCTTGACCTTGAATTCAACCAATTGACCTTGGGAATTCGATCGGACTCTTTGAGCAGAGGTAGGCTGGTACCTGGTAGCGAGTTTTTCAGTTTGTTATGAACTGTACTGTCACACGTCGGTTGGAGACCGAATTTTCAATTTATTAATATCCCGCTTTTGACGTTTAACTTATATATGGATCTTATCTACATTGATTAAATTTAACTTCTAATCGACAATCGTCCTTTTGACTTTGTGCCGGTTTTTTAATTAAAGTTGCTAGCCTAGGTACCTAGTAGGAGGTATGTTGAAGAATGATAGAGATTAAGTTTCATGAATGATGAAGATAACTGATAGGTAACCCATTAGCTTAGGTTTTGCATGAGAATGTCTATGTCTGAACGTTTCAGGACAATGCTTAGCCTATTAGATTTCTCTCATTACTTGATTAGCTACATAGGCTAAGCTGAAAAATTCTTCAACATATTATCTTGGAATAAATATATATGACCTAATTTCCTCTTGTCGGTTCTGCCATCAATCGCACAAAAGTTTCTGATCTTAATATGAAGTTTTCCAGATTTTACAAGGCACAAAGGCTTGTAAAGCCTGTAATACCTCTGTATCAGGTATCAATGTATCATTAACTTGACTCTATAGAATTTTGAAGTGTTATAATTTTGATAGCTCACAAATTTTGATTATTTAGCATTAATGCATAATTATTGAATTCAGTGATGAATAATGTTTCCTATTTAACAAAGTGTTAATGTACCATTGGTATGTCTTTTGCATATGTAACTAGAAGAGTTCTACTACAATGCATCAAAACCTGGAGTTATTTTGCCAAAAAATAAAAAAATTGGAGGGGGTACTCTGACAGGCTTTAAAAAATAGCTTTTTTTGTGGGTCACATTTTAATTTTTTTAACCAATTAGATATGCAAACTTTTTAAATCTTTCTATTGTGTTATGTAGCCTTAGTATTAGGTCTCAATGCCCATTGACAAAATTTTTCTATGTCAAATGGTTTTTGAGTTTTGGGGGTTTTTGTTAAAAAACCAAAAGTGGTCAAAGTTACCCTGGGAGTCAAAGTTACCCCAGTTTACGCCTTTACGGTATACAATAAACAGAATTTTTCCATTTAAGAAGTTGCTACTGGCCTCAATTTGATGGCAAAAATGAAGCAAAAGCCACTGTTGAATGATCTAAAACTACTACAGGCTGGTTCTGGGTTCTGAGTGCTGTTATTGGAATTGGAAATTGCAATTGTGAGCTGCTGACTCTTGGTCAGACCATCACAAGCAGACTGTAATCTGATGTAGACAAGGCAGATATATGTTTACTTGAAGAAAAGAACCAAAAAGATAAATTGGTAGCTAATTGTTATTTAAAATTTATCCAAATTATTATTACTTTGAAAAAATCTAGTAATTAAGATACACAAACGGATCAATCATGGACACATATCAGTCATAATCATTATCAATCAATCATGGACATTGGACACATCAGTCATAACTCATAAATGTTTATTAATAATAACTTATAATTAGTATTTGCAGTGAATGTAATTGAATTATTTATAGTATTTAGAATGCAAACCAGAATCATAGTCAGAAGCTTTAGTGCTGTTGATAAATAATATTATTACTATTAATAATATTATATGTTAATATTATAATATAAATAACATTACAAATAATGTTAGCTGTTTTGGAAGCAAAGGGCCAAGAGATCATTACTGGTACTATTAGCAGTTTTTCAAGTTTTTCTCTATGTAATCAACTTTTGAGGTAATTTGCATTGATCTGGTAAAAAAATTTAGGGCTGATTCTAATTTTGTCCTCATTTGATGGATGATCTATTGCTAAATTCAGGAACAGGCTTGGAAGAATAGTTTAGTTAGTAGTCATTTAAATCATGCAAAATTGTGTTCCTTCATATTTATGTGTAAAAATGATTGTGTTTTGATGTAGCTGTCTGATTCATGTTTAGTATTGGGAAATTCCTGGTCAAAGCTACTGTTGTTAGAACATTAATGCTTCAGATTTTAATACCACTATGTAATTAATTTGAACAGTAAATAAAATAATATGCAAAATGAAATTATATTGGCTATTTATAAGTGCCTGAAAATTTTATGTCTAAAAAGTTCCTTACTAAGTTGCATTTCCATAAACAATCAACAGAAGGATATTTAAAAAAATACAGATTTTAAATAAGTAATGAAAACAAAATATTTTATTATCTATTGGCTTCATTATTCATTTCTCATGTGTTAATATCATCATTTATTCATCAATGACGTGTAGATGAATTATTTTCTCATAAGTGTCCCTCAAAGAATTGAGTGTGAGAATTTGTCACAGTTCAGGTGAGAGATTTGGGCCTGTGCCAGCTGTTGTCCCTCTAGATGTTCCCAGTGCACAACAGTCTCACTGCACACTTTTGCTTAGGCAACCACCAAGTTAGCAGTGATAGAAAATCAGGGAATTTGTGCCTTGTTTAATAAATAAATGTCAGTGAGGTTTCTCAAACTCCAAAAATTCTTGCCACAATGCATTCTGGTTTGGAAGTAAAAATGGCAGCAACTTTTTTTTGTTCATGTTGAAAAGTTTCATGGCTTTCAAATTTTGTATTCCTCACAAAGTTTTCAGCATCTATTTCATCATTCCAAAAAAGTTGTGCTGTGAAAGCAGTTTTTTATCCTTTCAATATAATAACTTTTCATCAAGTAAATTGCTTTATAAGAAAGTAAGTTAACTCCCAGCTTTAAATTTTAGGTTAATATAATATGCAATTTAAGAATACTTTATATTTTCTTCAAAGGCAAGAGAACCATTGTTTTTTAATGCTTTAAAATCAACTAAATTGTCATTTAAGTAATAAAATTCAGTAATTTTGCCTCTGTATTTGATCACACATTTACAAAACGAAAACAACAATCCATTCAGAACTTAACCAATGAATTTTAACCCAGTGCTAGCCTTGCACTTCAGTTCAAGTCAATCTGCTTCTACAAAAATTTTAAAACTAGTGTTTGGCCTATTTTCCAATAGAAGATTTACATAACACGTAATTAAGCTGTTGAGCATGAGGTGCAAAGAAATGCAACTTTTTCAGTGGCAAAAATGTTTGGCAAGAGAATGTCATTCACTCCCACAACAAATTGAAAACAATTGTGAAGAGAACACATGTATACAGGTCTCCAATTTGTCTGTCCATGTTGGCATGTTGAAGGCAACCACCTGATTTGTTGTAAAATGATGTGATAAAGGCTGCTGATTTATTTCTGATTGTAATTAAGCAAAATTTTAAGATAAGGGGAGAAATCAAGAAGCTGATAATTATATATATATATATATACTGTATCAAAGAAGAATTAGCAATCAAGAATATCATTGATGCATTCTTATATATATTGTCAGAAAGTGTTGCAAGTAGATGGTTTTGGGGTTAGGAAGTGAAATAATACCTGTCTAATTCCCTGTCTTTTCTATTTGACAGGGAATTGAAAATGGTATTATTTTCTACACTTCCAAAGCAAAATGTGATTAAGAATACAACTAGTTTGTACCTTAACATCTCCTCACAGTTGATTCAGTTTTTATCACCAAACTGAAGTGTTTTTTCAATAGTGGGTTTGATCCACATATTTGACATCTGCCTTGTGTATATTACTTCTTTAAAAATGTCCTCTAATTCTCTTATTGGGCTTCCAGATGGCTGAAGTAGCACCAATGCAGCTCCAGGCTGACAAAGCCTTCACAAATGTTGACCAAAAATCTGCTCTTGACATTGACTCAGCACCGTTTGTTCAAAGACTTTCTGGCATCATCTGTACCATTGGTGAGTTATTAAGATTAGGCACTGTATTGAAATTTTCTGAACACTGTATTGATTACATATTTAAAAAAAATTGTAATTTGTTTTAGTTTTAAATCTAAGGATGCAGGTAAATAAGCATTAACAAGTCTGAAGCCATTTTTAAACTAATGAATTTTCTGTCATCAGTTGCTTTGCAGCCTAACACGGTATCAGTTTGATCTTGTTTTGCTGCTTTACCATGGTTTTTCTGTTGAAAATATTTGCTTATTGAATTGAAGCTCTATTGTGGGAATATTCTCATACTCTAGATTCATAGAAACTGTTGGAATCATTCCATGAGTGTCTCTAATATGCATTGTCTGATCTTATTATTTTATTTTATGATTATTTTCCATGAAAGAGTATTACATTATGTTGAAGATTTCTCAATTATATGCAACCAGGTTTAATTTACATTTGTGGGGAACACAATATAGTTTTTTTGCTGCCAATCTATGGGAAACATTGAACTGAGTCTTTATTTGGGGTGGGTGAATTTTCAATTATTGATAATTAGGCCATTCATTTATTAAGCTCATTATCAAATCTTCTAGGAAATGAATGGTGAATCTAGGTACATGCAGCACATCTATGATCTCATACACGTTTTAATTTCTGAAAAGGCATTTATGAAGTTAATATTTGAAAATTCTGTAAAACAGGCCCTGTGTCGCGGTCTGTGGAAACTCTGATGGAGATGATTGAAGCAGGAATGAACATAGCCCGCATGAACTTCTCTCATGGCTCACATGAATACCATAGCGAGACTATGGCCAATGTCAGAGAAGCTACCCGCCGCTACTCGGAGAACAAAGGCTATTCCTTCCCTGTCGCCATTGCTCTTGATACCAAAGGTCCAGAAATTAGGACTGGTCTTCTTGAAGGTGGTGCTTCCTCTGAAGTTGAGCTCAAGAAAGGGGACAAAATTAAGCTCACCACAGATAAGACCTACTTTGAGAAGTGCTCCAAGGACATCGTGTACTTGGACTATGATAATATCACCAAGGTTGTGAAAGCTGGCAACCGCATCTTTGTTGATGATGGCCTCATCTCGCTCATTGCTGAAGAAGTTGGTAAGTGACGAATTTTCATTTTATCAACTTGATTGGTTTCAATATCTCTGGAATGATTGTCATTGCCCTTTCACACAATGGTAAATTGTTTATGATTAATTTACATGAAGTATTATTTGGGCATTAAGTTGCACGTGCACCCTAGTACCCTTCACTCTAGCGAATTTTCTTAATTGCAAACGTTGTTTTAGAATCTCCCATTATTGTGTGGTGTTTTAAATTACTGGAAATGGCGTTGGCAGGGCATAATGCTGAATAGTTTATATAGGTACCTTGTTACCTAGTCAGTTAGTTTCAAATTCTCAGGTTAGAATTTTTTTCATAATGCTAAATGCACACCAATTTCTATGTTTGCTTGGTGAGATATGTTGTAGAATAGCCCCTCAATTCTCAGAAAACATACCCCAAATTGTTCCAGTTTTGTTAAGTTGATCATGAATCATTTAACCAAACACAGGTTCAGACTACATCAATACCACCGTTGAGAACGGTGGTATGTTGGGCAGTAAGAAAGGTGTTAACTTGCCTGGCGTGCCGGTCGATTTGCCCGCTGTGTCTGAGAAGGACAAGGGTGACTTGCTGCTGGGTGTTGAGCAGGGGGTTGACATGGTCTTTGCATCCTTCATCCGAGACGCTGCTGGTGTCCATGAGATCAGGAAGGTTCTTGGTGAGACATTGCACTAATAGAATTGAAGCAATTCTTTACAACCCATTGGCTGCATTCCAATTAATTCGGATAATGAATTTATTGTAAGGTGGCAATGAACCATTGTGATCTGTGAACTGCAAATTTGCGTTTTGATTATAAAATTTTTCCTGGCTTCTCATTAAAAATATTCAGTGAGTTGAGGAATTAATTTTTTCAGGTGAGAAAGGCAAGGCAATTCGTATCATCAGTAAAATCGAGAACCACCAGGGCTGCCGCAACATTGACTCCATTATCGAGGCGTCGGACGGTATCATGATCGCTCGTGGTGATCTTGGTATTGAAATTCCTGCTGAGAAAGTCTTCATTGCTCAAAAAATGATGGTTGCCAAGTGCAATAAGGTGAGACTAATAGAAAAAAAAATTACTTCTTTGTCTACCTTGTTACAATCACCAGTGCAGTTTTTTAAACATGATTACTTGTTCTTTCACTTTCAAACAGTTTTATTTCCAAAATACTTTCACTATTGGTCTAAGTGTTTGGCTGCATCTGAATTATTTATTATATTTGTTTGCATCTATATGAATTAATTATTTGCAGGTGGGCAAGCCTGTTATTTGCGCGACTCAGATGCTGGAGTCGATGGTGAAGAAGCCTCGCCCAACCCGTGCTGAGGTAAGCGATGTTGGCAACGCCATCCTGGAGGGCGCCGACTGCGTGATGTTGTCTGGCGAGACCGCCAAGGGCGACTACCCGATGGTGTGTGTGCGCACCATGGCCAACATCACCAGGGAGGCCGAGGCAGCCATCTGGCACAAGCAGCTCTTCACTGAACTCACCCAGCTCGTGAGTACTTTTGTGTGCAGAGTGAAGATCTGGATGGAGGGATGTTCACTCTGTGCAGAGTGAAGATCAGGATGGAGGGATGTTGATTCTGTGGAGAGTGAAGATCAGGATGGTGGGATGTTTACTCTGTGGAGAGGTAAAGTCAGGATGGAGATGTTGGTGGTGGTGGTGGTAATGCCACTAGCAAAGAGTGGCAGAGTACGAGAGGTGGCTAAGATTGGCCAGAAAGAGGAAGGAGAAATGGAAAGGATGAGTAAGAGATGAGAAGTCGCGTGGAGGGATGGCATGTTGATTCTAATTTACTTTGTGATTAATAGACGTATTCTACGGAGTGCGAAGTGCAGTAGAAGGATCACTATAAGAGTTCATATGTAATCCCTGCATTATAACTAGTCATTGGTTGCAAAAACTTTTGTATAAGAAGTTGTGTAATTGCGTGTAGAACATTTTTCTTGATTTTTTTATACTACAAACACTTTCTGAAAGATGTCAGTGATAGCCTAATTTAATATGAATGACTTATCAAGAGTCTCTTAATTCTATCAAAATCCTTAATTATCACAATTTTTCCATCCTTAAACTGAGTGTAAACCGCCCGAGGCCTTCTCTGATTACATACCGTAATTGATGAAACTATTTACTGCAATAACACCGGAGTTATTCGCTCTTTACTGCACTTGACTCACCACTTTTTGATTGAAACGACCGAGCAATGGTTTGAAATGCATTCGAGTAGTAGAATAAAGCTTTTTGAACATTACAAGAACGTTATCATTAAATTGAAGTCATGGTACCTTTCATTTATATTGAGGGCGACGACTTGGTACTGTGGCAAATCAAGTTTCATCGACAATCGTTACCCAAATAGTCAAAATCATCCTAGGTAAAATATATAAGAAGAAAGTATTTTCTGCCTTGTTTAGAATGTTCAGGGCACGCGTGAGATTATTTCTTTGAATGTGTGCAGGTGACTCTGCCCACGGACAGCACCCACACGACCGCTATCGCCGCCGTGGAGGCGTCCTTCAAAGCCATGGCGTCGGCCATCGTGGTCATCACGACCACCGGCCGCTCAGCGTTCCTCGTGTCCAAGTACCGACCTCGCTGCCCCATCCTCGCCGTCACCAGAGACGCGCAAGTGGCGCGCCAGTCGCACCTCTACAGGGGCATTGTGCCTGTCCACTTCACTGGTGAGATTTTCTCATGTCTTGTCGCACCTTTTATCTCTCATTAAAATTCTACAATGCATTATAATCCTACTTTGAGTATTGCTGCGCCTGGGGTCAAGCTAATAAATCTTATTTTATTCTGTGAAAAGTTTTTAACGCACGTCTCTTCTATCTAGTTCGTTCATCGGAATTATGTGGAGCATTAAATATTTTTTTCGGAATTACTACGCCCCAGATCAAGCTACTGTATCGTATTAAGGGAATGAAAAATAAAGTAATTACGCAATTATTTGTTTCAGCTGAGGCTGATTATGGTTTGAGATGCGAATCCAATTCATAAGTGCTGCAACTGTATTTGAACTGCATTATCTAGTTCTGATCTAGAATTTCAATGCTGTACAATGAAGATCTCCATCTCCCGTTTTGGTCTTGATTGGTACGTTACGTGATTTTGTGATATTGATGCCTCCAGGGGTTCTCGTTGATTTCAGAGATACTTTTTATGTTTCTATCATTGGTGGAATAAGTCTGTTCGTTGGGATCTTAGACAAGTTGAGATAAAAATGAATGTCAGGACAATGAGTGTAGTGCTCAGTATTCTGGCTGGGCTTTTGACTGCGTGACGCCGTACCAATGTTTCCTGTAAGTGCTTTTAACTTCTCCTGAATTAAACATAATATTGATAAACCTTCAGCATGGTGAAGAATGATACGATAAATTTTTCTATTATTATTCTGCTTCGCTTTAACATCTATCTTATTAGGGAACTTTATTCCAACCTTTTACGTTCTAGTGTATGTGTATGCCCTTTCACTGTAGTTGCTTTCATATCTCACTCGGTCTTGTGCTTGCGATGACGTACATAAGATCTCTTTCGGATAAATTATCTTTTTCTTTGGCCTTGCAGTTGCTCCTCCCGCCGGTGAGTGCAGTTACTTCTCACTCATCTCCTCTAGTGTATTTTTACTGGTATTCTGTTGACCAACCTGTTTTTTGCTTATCGTTATCGTTCCCCCATAATCCTGTTCTTATCCACGAGTGGTCATCACCACTATGTCAAGTTGGTGACTCGACTCCTCGTATGTGCTTTGCTTGTTCAAAACCTGCACTAATCACATTCATTCGTGTTGCAGTGCTCTTCAGAGAAGTGATATTACTGTTATCGTAGAGGAGCTGATGCATGTTCTGTAGCCATGGAACGGTAAACGCAGCATCACTGCCCAACTGTGTATCACATGATAGTCAAATATTATCTTGGCCAGTCTTTCCCCAGGTGGGGAATGTCTTACTGAGGCATTTCATGTAGATTTTCTGTGATGAAAATTGAAAGTTATTCTCGGGCGTTCAAGCTCTGGGTAAAGTATTAGTTTGTATTACGTTAATATCTAAATCTTGATAATTTATTTCGAATTTAGTAAACATTTTTTATTTGAAACTTCATACGAATATGCCATGATATATATCAATAAAGCTTCCTATAACATATTATTTCGCTTTTATTACGTCTGTTTTTCTATTTGCTTATTTATGTCTGTCCTAATTTTTTACCGCCTTCTTTGGTTTTCTTTAAACGATTTACACCTTTATTTTTCCCATGCAGTATTCTCGAAATTAACCTTTCTCCTCGTCTATTATTTATTGTATTTTTTTATAGAAGAGCACAGAATTAAATATTTTGGCATCGGTTGAGCAGCACGAACGTCTGAAGTGTCCTTAGCGAGCTGTAGAAATTTTTCAATCCTATTGCGATTTTTTACCGTGATTTTGCAGAATGCACAAGAAGTACCAATACTCTTAACCAATAGTAAGGATATTAAAGTCACTGACAGGTGCTTGAAAAGCAAGGATAACATAGAATTTTAGTGTACATTCACTTGCATCGCAATTCACAATTGATGTTGGCCGCATGTTGAGCAGCGCATAATTTACGTTGGTCGCATACTGAGAACGCAAAATTTGTTCGTTCATACTTACCATTAATTCAAATTTATGTTTTGCAACTTAGCAGATAGTTAAACTCTTTTGATTCTCCAATTTCAACTGTTTTTACTTTATTTTATAGCAACGTTATTGAACTTTGTGCATGTATTCGTTAGGAGAGTATATGCCTAGAATGGACAAATTAGTCGTGACTAAGTTCTTTTCATAGGCACTTCAGTCGTTATGGACACTGATTGTATGATTCCAGTTATCACTCCTGCAATCACATGCTGTTTTGTGCATCTAACTGCTATTTGTTGCCTTGTTCGCCCCCCTAATAGACGTTTTGAGCTTTAATTATGGCGCTTTTAAGTGACCCAAATTTTAATCAATGAAAATATCCACAAAGTTATTGTAGCTACTAGTACCAATTTATCGTTGAATATAATAAAATTATTCACGTGGAATTTTAAAATGTTTTTAGATTAAAACGCAACCAGAGTTAGCTTCTTTTTTAAATGTACCCAGTTGCAGTCTGCGCGACTCATTTTCCATGTCTAGTCATGACTCCAATAATGAATTATAAGCTTATTTGACTCTTGAAACTCAACAATGATTCATCTCAATGTTGTTCAACCGACATCGATATTTGCAGCGGGTCGTGTTGAGGACTGGATGGCTGACGTAGACGCTCGTGTTGACAAGGCAGTCGAGATCGGCAAGGAGCGCCAGTTCATCAAGGCCGGTGACCCCGTCGTGGTCGTCACTGGATGGAAGAAGGGCGCTGGCTCCACCAATACCATGCGGGTTATCTTTGTGGAGTAAAATGCCTACGAGGCGCATATTTGTGGCCAATAAGCGTGACTGATTAGATCTTTTCTCTGTAGTATATCATTTCTGTTGGTTGATGTCGTTAAAGAGGAGAATTTGGTTTAAGCGCATTCGAAAGTTATTGGATTCACTGACGATGTGTAGGAGATAGACGGAATGAGTCTATAAACATGTATTCTCTGTTATAGTACTTTTTGTTGAGTTAAAGGTTCGATAATCGTCTTGAAGGAAGCAAAATTTCTTTAGTCCGTGCCGTGATCATTGAAGATAGTTGGTAGAAAAGCAGAACATCCTATCAGTGATGTTTTTGAGTTGGCCAAAATTCTCATCTCGGAGGACGTGCATAGTATCATAGTACATAGATCCAGAATCCTTGAAATAATTCTAATGCACTTTCATTTTGGTTCCATTTATTTATTGACTTGCGTAGAACCTTAGATAGTCGTGCGTGATATAAACTGAAAGTTGTTAGCCCACATTAAGACCTCCATTGCTTAAGTGTTGATCATAATTGATGTTGTGTTATGGTCAAGTGATTGCAATTAATGAATACTTACATCTAGTCTATCTTCAAATAATAGCAGTATTTATTCTATAAATTATTGTGTAGTTAGGAATGAAATCGTTAAACGTGTTCGTTCAATATTACTCACAGAACCAAAATTTTAAGCTAGTGCAACTATGTTGAGATCAAAATGAATAAAAGCGAATAATATTGTAAAAGTTAACTTGAGCAGGGAAGAGAGAATTCTAATTCTGGAGCTCAGTGAAATTGCATGTAACAAATGAAGTTGATGATTTTCTTGCGTTCTTAGTGGTCTTGGCTTTGTCTCATAAAACTTATGGAATCGTACCTTGTTTTTGTCCCCGATAATTGAATAGCCAATTCGTTACATACATTCATGAGCGACATCTTGGGTACGACGTGGAACCTCCAATTGCTTCCCTTAAAATTGTTGGCATTCACTTTGTCTCGAACTCTCGATCTCCTACAAATGCTCTTTTTAACGGGATGATGGCAGAAGTGAACGAAATCTTAACTTGTGGGCTCGAATGAATTTGAATTTTCTTTCAATTTGAGGATGCAATGAAGTGTGACACTTGAGCACAATTTAATATTGAAAAACCTCCTAAACGGCCACTACACCAAAATTTTCGAACCCGTGTTGGAAAGGTACCACTGAAATTATGTAAACGGCTTTATAATCCGGCCATGCATTTCGAAAATAGCAGGTGCTCCTAACTTAAAACCTTGCTATTCTACGATCGTGCGTTACATAAGCTCGATACACTAGTCAGGAATATCAAGCGTGGACGTTTGATCAGGTTCAATTTATACAGATCTAAAAACACATCTTTACGCTGTAAAAAAAAATAGTGATGAAAAAAATTTAAGCAGGGCAGGCTACAATCTTGCCGTCATGCGGATGCTTATGAAATTGGACAATTCTGAATCATGTTTTATTCTATTCCATTTCATTGTAGTTAAATAAACATGATCAAACCCTAAACCTAATTTTATTATTGGTTTATGCCGCGCGAACGTATTCCGAAGTTGATAAAGAATATTAAGAAACACCAAATTCATAGAGTTTTAGCAGACGTCACTAAGTTGATGCTTTGACTATCCTAACAGGTTACCAAGTTAGTTGGAATTTATTCACATGCACAGATTGGTAGGGTAACAATTTCAAATGTATAATATTGCATACGTATACCCGGGGAACTATAACTCACAAAAAATTACAATTGCATAAGCTTGTTAAAGTCGCAAGTCGTTCTGACCTCCAGGAAGCACAGAGCTGTCCCAGTGGCCAAGTTAATAAGAGATGTTCACACTCTAATCAAGTACGTGACTTTACTGCAAATGTTGGTAAAATTTTGCTTTAATTGAGATCGATAAATACACTCCATAAATTATATTGACAGAAAATTAATAAAAACGCCATAAGCAGCGATATCATCACACATGAAGCACGCTAAAGAACAATAAAAATCGTGAACATCACGCACCGAATTGCTGCCTTGAAGTTCACGAA